AATTTCTTCACTTTTTTTTTAGTGAGACTTATTTAATCTTTGTGCATTTTTTCGACGGTCAATTTAGGGAAACTTTGGATTATCTTTTTGTGGCAAAAACTAAGACTCAGAAGAATAAGCTAAGTGCAAGAAATACGTAGTTTCTTCAGCGCAACAAAACCATATTCTGGTTTTGCATGACACACCTACAAGTTAGGCTTCGTCCACGTCAAATAATAAATATGCAGTTTCCTATAATATGTTACATAAATCTTTGGAATAAGATTATCTTTAATTTCATTAACGGAGAGAGGTGTAGTTGACAAGTGTGCTTGAGAGTTGAGAGGCATAGGATATTAAGAGAAAATGATTTTGGTTAAGTGTTTCATACGATATAAGATCTATATGTGGGGTACACATCTTTTCTTGGCTGAAATTAGAATTAATAAAGCTTATCCATGCATTACAGCTGTTTGACTATACATTCATGAACGTATGCAATTTTAGTTTATATACCCTTAATTAATTTATTTATTAATTAATTAATAATAATAATAATAATAATAATAATAAGGATAATTATGTGAATATGGGCGTCAACCAAAATAATATTATAGCTGAAGGCCCCAAATAATGTTCTCAGCTGTAGGTGACGATAAATTAATAAACGACTTGCTGGAAGAGATTAGAGGTCATTTATAAACGAAAAATGTTAATTAGTATTTTAAAGATATTATTTAAATAATAAAAATATAATATTTTTATTAAAATATATTCATTGTTGTTATTTTAAATATATTGTAATATAATCTTTAATAAAATATTATTATGTATTAATTTCTTAACAATATTTATAATAATTAGAAGGATCAATAAAATTTTAACATTTACAATTAATCAAGAGGCTGAAATCCCTCTGGGGTATTGAATCTAGCACCATATGTATGTGCGTGTATGAATTTTTCTGGTGCAAGTTCCTCAATATTTGGGAGTTATTTTGAAGTTTTCACCGATATAAGTTGATTTAGAGCACTTCTAGCTAAGGGAAAAGGATTTTCCATATCTATCTTCTTTTTCATTCATTACACTTGAACATCATTTAAAGGAAATTATATTTCTTATCACTTAAATTAATAGATATTGGTGTGTGTGTGTAAGTTTTTTTTTTCTAATTTATAGCAAAAACATATCAACTAATAATGATACCGATTAATCCATTTAAAATATTGAAAAGATCATTGAAATACATTTTTAGCATTTTTAATATTGTTTTTTTATATACATGATTACAAAAATCAAATTCTCATTAACATGCTTAAAGAACACAATTATATATCAACTAATTATTATACATTTTATTGATTCTTGAGTTTTAATAATAACTTCGGTAATTAAGAGGTAAAATAAATATAAAATTATTTATATAATTTACTTTAATAATTCAATTTTTTTAAAATATTTCATGAAACGATATATAAATTGTTATTTTTAAGTGATTTAAAGTCCAATCTTCATCTGTACTATCATTTTCATTTTTCGTTGATTTAATTACGAAGTAAGTACACCAAATGTTAGTAACTTCTCTTATGAAAAATTGTGAATAACTTCTGAAGAATTGTTGCTTTGAAACAATTACAACCAGCGAGCTAACGTCGGAGCCAAGTGGGCGTCATTTTAACAGGTAAAAAGCGCTGTTTGCTGCCCCAACCAAACCAAATATATATTGACGTTGAATTTAACTCCTTTGTAAACTAAGAAATGAGAATTTATTTATTATTAATTTTAAATTAATTATTTTTATAAATTACTTGAATTTAAATTTAAAATGAGTATATTTTTTATTTTTAAATTTTAGAGGATTTAAATCCATTTGTTAATTCATGATTAGCTTTGTCTTTTGTCCTATTTCCCTGATTCTTTGCATGGTGTTGTTTCTAGCTTGGCCCACCTCACTGTAATATTGTACCAATAACTATAGGCACTACTTCATAATATTTTATGCTGCGCCACACAATCAAGTCTTCCCTAGTTTTGGGTTCATTATCATTATTTCTTAATTCTAAGCACCAAGCTCATTGAGAGTTTTTTTAATAGTAATTTAATATAACTGGGGAAGATTGATTGTTTCTGTAAAATAGTGTATAATTAATTGAATATTGAAAATATATTTTTTATTTTTTTTTTATAGACAAAACATATATTATTAGAGAAAGTTTAAGGAAAGTTCAAAACTCATATACATAGAGTAAAAATTAATACTTACTCAAAAAAATAAAAAGTAAAAACATACTTATTCATAACTAAGACAGATGCAATTTTGTAGATTCAAATATCAATCAGTTAACAAAATAATAGATTCTCCCTTACTAACAAGTGATAGTCATTTACAAGACTTTAGAATAATAGAATTTAAAACTTTCCTCTCATCCAAAACACTATTGAAAAACACAATTTGATTTTTACGTAACCACAAAAATCACACTATACTTACATAAATAATTAATAAATATATCATTTCTCTTTTACTACAACTAACACCAACCCAAGAAAGCAAATGAGTCAATAAATTTGAAAGCAAAACTAGTGAGAATTCAAGCTAACGCGCAGTAAAGTACTAGATTTTAGATAAAAGTAAGCACGTTAAAAATAAATGAGTTAGAAGTTCCTTCAAACTATGACAGAAGCAATAAGTTATATCATCAATTTGAATACCATGATCAATCAGCAAACTTTTACAAGGAAGTACATTCAACAACAATTGTCAAGAAAATATCAGACACTTAAGAAGAACTTTTTCTCTCCATAGCTTTTGCAAGGCATCCGTTGTACAGTGATCTACAATATTAGGACCACCAAAAAGTTCAAATTGCCATGAATACGCAAATTGCACTGAATAACAACTTAAAGAATTTTTCCTCCATACCCATTTATCTTCTTGTAGTACCTTAATAGAAACTCCATCCACAAGCTCCAACATAAGATTAAAGCTTGAGATCTTATGTTGAAAGAGTCATCTTCGCCAACTAACATCTCAAACATACCTAGTGTCATCATAAAAACATTCTTCAATACACAAGATTCAATATTTTTCGCCACTACAAATAATTGCAGAAATGTCTCACACAATCGCAGCCTACCCACTTATCTCTCCAAAAAAAAGTGTGTAAACATGCATCTACATTTCTATTTAACTTCTCATCCAACTATGAATTCTCTTGATAAATAACTTTCAACAAATCACGCTACCACAAAGAACATCTGTTGTGGACTGATGGACACTGAATAGAATAAGCTAATCTGCCATACCTAACTTCCAACACCCGCACCCACAATAAAATAGAATAATTAACACATCGTTACAATCATTTACTAAGAAATGTCTGATTAAACCACTGCACTACAATTCTTTATTGGTTACTCTTTTATTGTTCGATTGCTATTTAATAATATGCGAGAAAAAAAGAGAAAAAACTAAGATGATAAGTAAATTTTGCTATTAACTTTATAAAGTTGGGAAATAATTTAGTATTGAATCTGAGTTTGAACGTATCTTCATTTTCAGGTTTGTATATTTGGCCAAAAAAAATCGTCGTTTTCATTTTGATTAAAGAGATAATTCATTTATTAACATATTATTCGTAAGGCTTAATTATAAATTTGTGCATACATTTTGCATTTTTTTTTTTTAATTTTTGTGCTAACGTAAAAAATTTAATATAAATTTTTATATTAAAAAATATAAAAATTTATGATACTATTTGTAATTGAAAAGATTTGGTATTCTCTAATCTTTATCATTAATTTTAAATGAATAAATAATAAAATTAGTAATTTAGTTAAAAAAAATACATTAATACTTTTTTTAAGATAATAGAAGAATCACAAATATTAATTATATAATATCTTTTCAAGTTTATAGATACCACAACATCTTAAAAAATTTATATTTTACTTCTTATATAAAGTCATTTATGTTATTATTGATTAAACTTATAATAAAATAAAATTTGATGTATATATTTAATATTATTTTTTATTGTAATATGCGGACTTTGATTCTAATACATACATATAAAAATTTACATTTTATTTGCTATAAATGACATTATTTTTTGTTTTGTTTCCCAAATAAAAAAATATATATTAACACTGGAATAATTCTATTAAAAGTAAAAACTAATTTATAATTTTTTATATAAAAATTAAAATAAAAGGTAAATCAAGTAGTGGAACTAAATTTATAATTTAAGCTATTTATAATATGTAGTACCTAGCCTATACCTACCTAATAACAGGCCAATTGATCACGTCTAGCTCTCACAAATTATAAACCTTCACAGCCAAGCATATGAATTCGTGAACTTATAATATATTACTCATCAGAGAGATAAACATTGCCAAATGTTTCACTATAGATAGTCAGATTGTCTACATAAAATAAGCTAAATGACGAGATCGGGATTTGATTCTAAGTATCTTGGTTACTTTAAACGTGTGGTATGCAAGAAGCTTCGAACAATGAGAAATCAGAAAATCAAAACAGAGAGGCAGAAACCAAGATCTTTTTGTTAAAAAATGTTTTTCTGGGCTATTATTTTAAATAATCCTTTAACATTCGTTCAAATATTGCAACTCCTGTATAACAATCTGGCCATTTACCTTTTTTTCTCCCTACCTCACATTAGGTGCATTTGAAACCATTAAAATGACTTCTTTTTTTGTACAAAAGCCATTAAAATTAAATTTTTAAGGCATAAGGTTTAAATTAATTTAAATGCATGTCTAACTTCATATATTTTGTTTCTTTTCTTAAGCTATCCAAGAAGGTTAGTAAACCCTTAATTCATATTCACAGATATTTCTTTTGTGGTAGATGAAAGGGGAAATTGTCTGACTAAGTTGGGATATGTTTGTAGTCCTTAAAAGGATGGAGATTTGGATAGAAAGAATCCTAAGCTACTTAATCAGAGTTGGCAAAGTGGAGATGGAGATTCTAATTGAGTTGAGGTTGATTATTTATGGTGTGCTCTTTGTTGCATGTTAAATATGGCCCATCTTTTAATCCTCCCAACATGAGTTCTATTTGGAGTCCTATAGTACCATTTAGTGGAGAGACATTTGTAAGTTGAATATTGACTACTTTGGTATCCAAGAGTATCTTCTACTTGGTGAAGTGATTGATTCGATGGGGGTCATAAAGGAAATTAGAAGATGGAGAAGTAGTATTAATTTTTGGAATGATCTCGATCTATAAAAAGCACATTTTATTAACAAATAGAAACTATCAAACATTAATAATGCTTTGAAAATTATACGGACTAATTTGATCGGTTGAATTAAGAATCAATTAGTTATCTAACTTGTTTAACTTAAAAAATTAACTAATCTTAGAATCGATAAGTACCAGCCAATAATTGGGGATAAAAATGTGTTGAATCAATATTTTTATGGATTCGATGACCAATCTAAGTTTTAAAACATTGAGTATTAGGATCACTTTTGTTGATATAATCTATATTTAACAAAAAATAAATAGTTAGTATAAACCTCATAGATTTGTTTTTTCTTTTGACAATGAAACTTCATAGATTTTTGCCTATGATATAATACATCATATTAATAAATTTTATTAATAAAATATTAATATATTAATTGTTGGTATAAATTTCCAAAGTCTATACTAGTCATTGTTTTATTGAAAAACGACTATACTAATAAAGGTTATCCCAAGACTTAATAATTTTTATTTGTTGTTAAATAACAATTTTTTTGTAGTGTTAATTTAAATTTTGTATTTTCAAGGTGCTTTTTTGTTTGTGTTAATGAAAAATCTATGGATTTCTAACATGGGCCATCTAGAGACACGAACAATGGAGGTGGGGTTTTAAGTGGAGATGTAATTTTTTGTTTTTCTTCTGGGAAAAGAATATGTGTAGTGAAGTATTGAATTTGTTGAGTTTAATAAATGTAACTAAAAGAAGATAAGATGAATGGAGTTGGATAGTTGATAGTTTAGGACACTTTTCAACAAATTATGTTGATTACTTATTCTTAATCAATTTGGTGCGCTCTAATTCTTTTGATCCGTCTATCTCATATGGATATATTTTAAATCACTATTAGAAGTGCTTATACCCTTCACTTGGGTTTAGTCAAAGGGTGGAAGGTAAATTTGGCTTTGCAATCTTTATGGTATTTGATTGTTTGATCTATCTAGCTTCTTAAAAAATGGTAGGTGTTTTTTCGTATAAATAAAGGTTAATATTCTTTTGAATTTGATAAAGATTAGATTATAGTTTTGGGTCTCAACTAATACTTAGAGAATTATTTTTTTTATATTTTTTTTCAGTAGTTATATTGCCCATGTACTTTGTTAGATTGCTGGATGGTTGATTATTGTTGGATTTATAAATTTATTGTTTTTTTTTTTTTTGTTATAGAAGAAACTGGATGTTCAATTTTATTTTTTTTTAAGTGAATCTTATAAAAATATGTAAAATTTACTTAAAGGAATATTTTTTGCTTAAACAAATATTATTCCTTAACTCATTGTTTATCTCATTTCTTTATTTAGAAGTTTCTCAATCACATTTGTCCCACCTACCTTGCATCGGATCACAAGCTCAAAATTTGAGTTTAATTTTTTCTCCAAATTCTTAAAAAACCATAGAATAAAAATGCAACTCCACATGCACTCCTTCTCAAATCTCAATACCAATTGCACCAAACGTCACCACTCACAATTATGAAATGACATAGCTCCAACCTAGTAACTAATATTCACTCATTTTTGTTCTTTCAATACAAAACTTCCATGAAGAAGTTAAAAAAAAAACCCAAAAGAAGGATAGAGTGAGAAAGGGAAGAGTGAAAATTTTGGAAGCTTTTGGAGGATTGAGAGATTGAAAGGATAGTTTGGTTGTTCTTCACATTCACTCATGAGAAACAAATATATGACTAAACTTAGTTAAAAAGAGAGTGTGTTTTTGGTTCACTCAAATGCCAAATTCTTACCTCCAAATAGCTAAGGGAAAAACACTCACAAAAACACTTATACAAATCCTTACTTCAGCTTCTATTTTTATACATTTTTATACTATTTTTATAAGATTTGTTTGAGCAAATCTCAATTTGTTTAATTAAAAAAAAATAAACATCTAATTTATGCTCTAGTGTAAAATTCAAAGATTAAAAAATTTAGAATATGCAGCACTTATCAGATATATGTTTAAAAAAAGTGGGATTGAAACTTGAAATTGTGGACAAAAACAATGAGCAACACCACCTTAAAGCATCAACCAGCTAAAGTTTCAATTTGTATCTTCGGGATTCAAAATATAAGGCAATTAAAAAGTATTTATAAATAAAAAAATTAAAATAAAGTTAATTTTTAATTGCATGTAAATGTTAATCAAAGAATAGTTTCTCAAACACAAATATCTAATTAATAAATCTAATATTCTTAAAATAAGAAAAAAAAGCATTGCATAAGTCCCAAAATAACATAATTTATCCATAAAGATATAACATTAGGATCAAATGATATCAGATATAACATAACTTTTAATAAATTTTATTAAAAATAAAATTTTATCAATCAAAAATCTAAATTGTGCATTTTTTATTATTGTGTTAATTTCAGTCTTTAAGATTATATTTAAATATTTAAAAATAATAAAATTTTATTAAAAATATTTATGACATTGGAGATATAAAAATAAATATTAATATTTTTTTAATAAAATCCTACTACTATTCATTATTTAAACTCAACCCGAGATATTTTTCAAAATTTAAATGCATAATTATCATAATAACAATACATGTATAACGATTGAATTAATAATATTAATTTAAAAAATTATTTAAAGATTTATTATTAAATTTTATACTTATTATCATTTCATCTTGACAGAAGGGACAGGATCAAATAGTTTTGATCCTCTTAAAATAGTTTTGCATTTTGTTTTGTGTTACACAGCTCATAGTTTAAACTTTTCTATCACTTTCAAACTTGAATGTACAAAATGACAATGTCACCTATGCATAATAAATGAGATAATATTGAAATATACATAAAATTTTGTGTAATTCCAAATATATGTCCTAATTTAATTAATCTCAGAGATTATTAAAATAATAAGGAAATGTGTATCAATGTTTAAGTTAAAATATATTGAGATCTCATCCATTAATTTCTTATGGTTGATTCAAATTTTCAATTTCTGGATGGACATTGTGAACCACCAAATAAAAAAATCTACTTAAGCCCAATGGCCGTAAGTTTTGACCAAAACAAATAAAAAGCAAGTACATAGTGGGCCTGAACCCAAATAAACGGCAGTAGTTAGCTTTTATGGCGAACTATTAGTGAAAGGTGCAACGGTTTACCTTTGAACATAAGTGTTAATACTTTATATTAGAAAAATTATAAATCTTCCTACGTTTTATTATTACTAATTATCTTAATTATTAACTAAATAAATTAATAAATATATTATATTTTTAGGATAATAAGTATATGCACTTATTTATTTATTTATTAATTCTTTACTCATGTAAAGCCTATAAAATGATAACCCTGAAATTCAAATCCGAATATTATAAGCTCAGTTCACCTGACTTGTATTGTAATTTATATTTTTCTCTGATCCAAAATAAAAGAGGCGAAAACCTGCTCTTGTTATTCTGGTTTTACGGGCAATTTTCTGGTTTGCTTTATTTCTACGTAGCATTCCGTTCATGTTTGTAGTTTTCAACAATTCAACTGTCACGGAAGAGGGCTAAAGGAAAAAGAAACTTGAGGAGTATTTATTTCATATAATTGAATATGAATTATAATTTTGGAGAAATTAATACAAGCTAAATCTGACACATCCATTTGTTAGATATGTTAAGCCCTTCAAATTCAACACTAATTTTTCGTTGTTATTAGTTTTAAACTTTGAAAATCATTGGAAAAATATGCTTCATGTATCACACTAGAAGTAGACATTTGTAGGTGTCTTTATTTTTTGCATGTGTTTTTGAGATGCAAGTATATAAAAAAATAAATGAAAAATAGAAATAATAATATACGGTGTTACATATAGTATTAACTTTGAATGATTCAAATAACAGAACTAGAGCTAATATAACAACATAGTTATATTATGAGAAAATCAAGCCATTGTGACGTATTTTGTAATGCCTAAACCCTGCTTGTGTTTTTATCTTTTTTTGGCCAATGAAAACTCGAGTATAATTTTTGCTTAACAAGAACAGATGATGATGATGATATTGATGATTGTTTTCGTTGTTGCTGTTCAAGGGTATCAGTTATTCTAGTTGTGGTTACGAAGTTCACAATAACAGTAAAATTGAACCCCCAAAAAAATGGAAACTGGTGTCCGTAATCATAGAGCTAAGAGGACCCTAGGTATCTAACCAGTCAAGAATTACATTATACAGACATTAATCTTGATATGATCCCTTCATTTGAAAGCAAATAGAACAAGCCTACTCGACTTTTATATGTGACATGGCACATAATTATCAGTATAACTAGTTGAAATGATTAATTGAATCTTCCTTAGTTCAAACAAGCAGCATCTTTCATCCAAAGAAAAATGTCTAAAAGTTTTAATTGTTTATATGCCAATGTACAAAGTTTATACAAACATTGGGTGAGAGGATCCATAAGCATCTCCATATTTATTTTGTAGTAGGCAAAAGGGGGTCTCCAGCAGCATATTTATCTGGTTTCCTTCTCAAATTTGATAGAACCAAATATAAAAACCCTGCAGAAAAGAAGCTAACAAACCAGGCATTGTTGTAGATCACAACAAAAGTGTGAGGAACTGAAGTTGCAATCCCAACTTTCTGCAAGAAACCAGGAACCACAGGTAAAATTCCAAAAACTAGAGCCACAATTGCAGCTACATTAAACCCCCTTGAATATCTGTATGCACCATAAGGACTCCTTGAGTACAAGTCACTTATACTTAAACTTGTTTTTTGTATAATATAGTAATCCGCTAGAACAATCCCTGCAATAGGACCCATCAATGCAGAATATCCAATTAGCCAAGTATAAACAAAGCTCTCACTTGATTTGAGAAGCCTCCAAGGTTGAAATGCAATCCCAAGGAGTGCAGTTAGAAGTGCTCCTCTTCTAAAGGTGAACCATGCGGGGTTAAGATTAACAAGAGCATTTGCAGGAGCTACAATATTAGCAGCAATGTTGGTGGTGATAATGGCTAGGCTTATACCAAGGATAGCAAGGATACTAGTTGTTAGGCCACCAATTTGACCAAGAAGTTGAATTGGGTCAGAAATAATTTGACCAAATATCACTTTTGTTGATGATGTAACTGCTAGACCAACAAATGTGAATGCCCCCATAAAGATGGGAAGCCCAACTTGACCAATAACTTGATCCTTCTGGCTCTTCGCGTATCTAGTAAAATCAGGTATGTTAAGAGCCACAGTGGCCCAAAAACTTATATTGGCAGTAAGAGAAGGGAAAAAAACAGGCCAGAATTCTGAATTAGAGAGCCTAGAAGATAAAGAGAGTATGTGACCAAGCCCACCAGCTTTAACACAAGACCAAATAAGAAGGCATGAAGTAAGAGCAATGAGTATTGGAGCAGAGTACTTCTCAAGCTCCCTAATGCCATCAATTCCCCTCCACACAAAAGCCAATTGAGCCACCCAAAAGACTAAGAAACAAGCAAATTCAAGAGGGGATGTGCCAAGCCAAGGTAGAGACTGAGAAAACGAAGTTTCTTTCAATGATTTTGGCAAAAGAAGGAAAATGGCCTCTCCACCTATCCACGATTCAATCCCATACCAACCACAACCAATCAAGGCCCTTACGAGGGTAGGAATATGAGCACCATGGATGCCAAAAGAGGATCTAGCAAGAACTGGGAATGATATGCCATAACGTGTGCCTGCATGGCCGGTGAGTACCAGAGGAACCAAGAGGATGATGTTGGCTACTACCACAGTTGCTATGCCTTGCCACCATGCCATACCAAGGTCAACAAGGCTACCAGCAAGGTAGTAAGAAGGGACACCAACAACAAGTCCCACCCACAAGGTAGCAATTTCCAAGCCAGAAAATGTTCTTTGGTTCGGTGAAGTTGGCTTGAGGTCTTCATTGGTAAGCGTAGGATCAGGCTCAAATTCAAAATCTGATGATGCTATGGAGCTAGAAGAGTTGGAAGATTTCATTGTATGGTACTTGGATAAACAATTATTGTACTGAGTAGGAAAGACTTTTATCAATTTTGATGGGAATGAAAGATGAGTGGAAGAGTAAGAGGGCCTTGGAGTTTTGGAGGGTGCTAATGAGGTGAGTGAAGGAGTGGTGGCATGACGAGGGACAACGAGTGTTAGACATTTTGATAACATGTTTTTTTGTAGTTGTAAAGTTTCATGTTGTTGTTGTTGTTGTGGAATATAATGGTGTACGATGAAGATTGATGATGAGTGGTGGGCAATGCATAAACGTCATTCTCGTCTATTTTTGTGAACCAAATGAATTTCAAGCCAATGCCTCCAATAAAACATAGCGATTGCGTGTACAATTAAAGTTGAATGATATATAATATAATATTTGGTGTTTGGGCTAATCGAGACTTTGTTCAGGCCTTTTATGTTTGGGCTTCTTATCTACGTTGCTTGACAAAAATAAAACCTTTTGCTAAAGTTTTGATAGGGGACCAAATATATATATATATATATATATAAAATGTGAATGAGTCTGTTATTGAAAAAAAAATTTGTATATATAAAAGTTTAAACTTAAAATATTTTTTTAACGATATTAAATTGCTTGCCATTAAATAGTAAACTTTAATTATAGCAGTAAGGTAGAGTAAAATAGAATATAAAAAATACGATTTAAATTATGTCTCTTGCAAAAACTATACTCATATTCCTCTTCCCCAATTTTAGTCCTCTTGGGAAAAAAAAAAAACAATAGACTTTGGACCATTAAAATAAAATAAAGACCAAAACCGGGTAAAGAGAACACCACGCCAACAATTGAAAAGAGGGTTTATAAACTTAATTTTACAGAAGTTTCATTTTAATACAAAATTAATTACAAAAAAAATTATATCTAAACATTTTTACCTTCCAAATAAATTTGTGTTAAACTTATCAAGAAATTCATTGCTTAACGATAAAATATATTTATTTTCACTTTTACTCGAACATATCTTAAAAATAAACTTAATTTAAAAAAAAAAAAAAACAAACAAACATAATGTGGCTTGAGTGTTTTTATGTCAAAACCAAAATCTAGTTTTCACTAATAAGGATTGTAATAGATAGAGTTTAAATAAGATGAATGTTCATGTTAATATCTAAACTTAAGAAAAAGACTTATTTAAAAATAATTTGGTTTATATTAGATGTATATTCTACGAGGTTATCTTGCACTTGTGTGGGAAAATTATTATGAACAACAATTTAAAAAAAAAATTACGTAATTACATATCAAGACTGTTAAGTTAAAATAAATTTGTTCCATCGGTTGATTCACATTTTCAATGATTAATTATCTAGATTTAGATTCAAATCTTATTAATGGGTGAAAATTTTTTTATGAAGAGTAACTTTTTAAATACAACTTATTTGATTTGAGATTAACTAACATTATTATGAGAGATTGATTCATGCATATTTAAACATGATTAATTTGTGTAAGAAAAAGTTTTTTTTAAGATTAAAAACTTCAAATAGAAAAAACTATCAATTTAATCCTTCAAATTTTATATTTATTATTACATAAATTCATAAGAGTATGGTTGGAAGAGAATTTTTTGAAGGAAAAAAAAAGAAAAGACATATTTTTCTAATTTATATATTATTTCTGATCGTGAATACATGGTTAATATATTAAATTTAAGTTAATATATTAATTTATATTTTTTATTTTAAATATATTTATTTAAAAAAAAAAGAATTATTCCCATATCCTACCCTCCAAAATCCATCTTTCTAAACAATCCCTAAAAAATTAATTACTATATTAGTCTTTATTTTAGTCAGCATGTTTTAGTCTTTATTTCAAATACACACATAATTAATTCCAACTTTCGAAGTCTCCTGTTACAGGATTTAAAACTATTAATGTACCAAGAACACTTATAATTTTGTGTTCTAAACAATTTACAGTTTACATTTAACATATTTTTTTTTCCAAACAATATAATTATTATTATTGAAGGAAGCATAAGTAAATTTTGGTTGAGTCTTAAGTGATACCTTTCCTAAGCTTGTTTAGATGTTTAAAATAAAGAGAAGCTATTCATGATAAATTTGTAGTTTATCTATTAAAAGAATATCATGCCAGCATTACAGTGATTCGTTGGTTAGGTTAAATGAAAAATTCATAAAGTGCTTGAAAATGTTTCAGTCTGAATTTTTACACTCCCTTCCTACTATTATCTTTGTTGGATTATCGGGGAAAGATTCTTAACTACAGCGTAAATAATAATATATCTCAATTTTCCTATTAATTTTCTTTCTAATAACACTTTTAGTTTTAAGGGTAACACAAACATATAATTTAGCAATAATTGTTACCTAATAAGAGTTCGTTGAGTTTAATATACAGTGGAGAAAAGTGTAGGGAGTATCTTATCCTTCATTTTCACTGCCACCAAACAGAACCCAGCTTTATTGAAACGTCCGTTTGAAAGGGAAATCTAAACCAAACATTACTTACTGCCCTACAATGTACACTCTAGATGCAACATTATTTTCATATTTAACCACAACCTCAAGCAATTCGGCAGCTAGCAAATCGAAGAATTTTTCACACACCTCATCCGAAATATTGATCCATATATATATATATGCTACCCTTATTTATTGGCATAATACCAATTTTCTTTCACTCACCCTGGATAAGTGATGATCGGCATCAATTAGTGGGTGATGATTTGACTCTTTGAATCTGAAAATTTTCAACATCCCACCTGGGTTGCTTCGAAACACTGTTTATGTCGTATTGCACATGGAGCAAAAGACCCTTGCTTTGATATGGACCTGAACAAGTCCTTGTCTCTGTATGGACCGATTTCATGGTCATATAGTCTGGATACAAGTATATCACAAACAAAATTCGAATGAATGAGTCATTATATTACTGTAAAGCATGATTACCGAGGCATCTTTATCACATGCAAGCTTTTAAGTTGTAATTATATTACGAAGTTTTATAAAAGAAAATGTTGGGTTTTAATGTTGATGATGATTATTATTATGTTTTTTGAGCAAATGAAATTATGTGTGTTAAATTTAACAAGGTAAGTTTTCTTAATATTTGTTTATTTTTTTATACTACATGTATTATCTATCAAAGGCAATCATATTTGAGACAGGTAAGAGTTTTGTAGATGATAAAATTCTTTTGTTAAATATTATTTAAATATTTATTTAATTTGATTTATTTATATTATATTATTCATTATGATTCACTTATTTAAAATGTTTTTACAACTAAAATTTAATATATGGTGTTTGAATTTTAAATTTCAAGGTTTATTAGTAAGTTACTAATCAAGAAATAAAATAAAAATTATTACAAATTATATTAAAAATTGTGATTAAAATTAATTAATAAAATTTTTTCATATTTTTCATTCCTTAATTAGTAAGGTGTTAGTTAACATTTAGCAATTTTTAAATATATGATTTCATTAATTATAAATCGAGAAAAGGTTTAGTATTGTATTAGTTATCATGGATATAATTTTTCAAACATAATTTTGAATAGAACTCTACTTTAATTTCAACATTCAAAATATTACAGATACGTTGTTATGCCAAAGGGGGGAAAACTAACAACTATAACAAGACTTTTTATCCCTAATATTGTTCTAACCACTAGCAAAAGTCAAAGAAACACATTAACTACAAATAGAAGACTTTTTGAAGAATAAAAAAAATGGAGAAAAGTATAAAATGATTTCACACTCTTTGATCCTTTTAATTGTTGAGACATTTACACTTGTAAATTTGCTTTAGATATAGTATATTTTTTCAAGAAATTGTTGTATATTTCACTTTAAAATAAAGTAAAAATAAGTAAAATCATTATTTAGATTGAGTATATATTATTTTATATAAGTCACGAGTTTATAATTAAATTAAGATATATCGACTATATACATGTGTTTTTTCTCTATCCTTTTTTTTGCTACATTTTTATTATTTTTGTTTAATTTGTATTAATTTTTAAAATTTTATATTTATCTCTTATTGAAAGTTAGACATTACGCTAATTTGTCTTCATTATTAAAAGCATTGCTATTTCGTAATAAAAATCTAAGTATGAAAGTTTGAAGATTTCACACCGAAGTTTGTGAATGGTAAATAGAAAATTAAGAGAATTAAAAATATTTTGAAAAATTTACAAAATCCATGTCAAGTGTTTTGTATATAGTTTTCGTCACAGCATTTTTCATACTATTTTGTATTATAAAAAATTTAAACTATTAGATTTGACATTATGAGTTTTTACTAACAATGGCAGACAACTTTATTAATATAAACAAATTTATATACATTATCAGTAAATTATATTAGTAATACAATGTGTTATATTATTAATATTAATACTGAATTTCTATACTAATAATTGTGTGTGTATATATATATATATATAGAAGTATCTTTTTATATTAATATAAATTTAAAAAAATTTACACTTAATTTAAGTTTTTTATTTATCTTACATTGTAATAAATTGTAACTCAAATATAGGTTAAATAAAAAACTCAAATTAAGTGAAAGAAATTTTAAACTTATAATAGTGTAAAAAATTATGTTTATATATATATCTATATGTCTAAAAATTGAAGTCTACAAACGGCCCAACCAAAAGATCACTAAAACCTTAATTACTTTACCTAGGCCCCCAAAAAATGTTACTAATTGTTAGTGTCCTTACCAAATAGATGAAAGGGAATATGGGACCCCCATCCTAATACAAATTAGTAACAATTCTATTAACTGTTACTTCAACAAAAGATTTTAAAAAAAACTAAAATTAATAAGGTCTAAAAAATAAATAAATCAGCTTTATCGTAGCTTAAAAATTAGTAAACAAAATAATTATAATATTTTAATAAATAACTTTGCATCCCGACAACCTTGAAATGTAATATCTAAATAGAATTACAATAAATGTTTGTAAAATATTTCAAAAGATTTAAAATGCATCAACTTCAAATTTATTTTAGGCCATATAAATACATTACTGATCAGTAATATGGTGAGCTTTGACTTTATATGTTGTGAATCCTATCTTTTCTAGATTTGAGGATTGTTTCAATAAATATTGAATATCAGAATCACAGCGGGAGTATTACATTTATTTTATGAGTTCATATACATCTATTGCTTTCCTACGTACTTTGAAGTTACTTTAAACAAGCCTTACTAGAGAGTACTTACAAATAATTATTAGAAGCAACGATATGAAAAGAAAGATCAAACTTCCCATGAAATGTCACTTAATAATTTGGACATGTTGAACTATGAATGGTGGTGTCCAATGATCCCTTTTTGTCATTTTTATAGTACATGTTAATTGCATGGTCATTTTCTACGTATATATGGCAGTTTTTTTTTTTTTTTGGGTAAATACATATATTTAGCATGTGAATTTATTTTTGGGTTAATTGCATTAATAATTTATTTTTATTCAATAAATAATGTACTAACAAAAATTACCTTAATAGTTAATAATTTTATTTAATAATAAATGAGAATTTTTTTAATGGTAGCTACTATATGTTCATATTGGATGACACACTTTTTGAGAATTGAAAACTTGGTTCGAGTAGCCATCAATTCACATCTGCTCTACCTAATTGCCTAGGCTCATTGATTTAATTAAGTAGAGAAAAGGACACTACGTAATTATAAAGATAACCAATGATTCACATCTGTTACCCTTTCCATTTTCATAATTCTATGACAAAAAACCATTTTCAAAGTATAAAGAAAAATACAGATTAGAGGTCGGAAAGAGATAAGAGACAGAGCCCAAATCATCGTTAAGTAAGTTGATTCGTAAATGGACTACGTGCGCATATTAATGAATAAGATTTTGTTAAACATTTTCTTTAAAATGTTAAATAAAAATTTTATCAAAATTTATGAGAGAATATGTAAAAAGTTTTTTTATAAAAATATTTATTAAAATAATATGTGATATATATTTTGTTTCGGTCGAATAGTAAATATAAGCGAATTTTCTATACTTTAATATATTACTTTTTTTTATTTGAGAAATATTAGCAGTGCATTTTTTAACACATTTTTTTATTAATTTTAAATTTTATTAAAAATTATAAAATTATATGAATTACATTTTAACTTAATAAATTCACTCAAAAAAAATTGCTTTTAATAAGTTTTGATAATAATAAAATGTATATTAAAAAATTTGTTATATAATGTATCTTTAATATATTTTGTAAAGAGTCGCATGTCATCTTAAGAAAGAAAATTTTCCCTCCCATTTTAGAACTTTAATATATGCATATGAAAGTTTTATACAAAGGTTTCTTTTTCTAATTCTTATACGTAAATATTTACAGCATTGTGAAAGTTCTACAAGATGCACTAATATCAAACTTATAGGATAAATAGTAACCAGAAAAAGGGAATAAAAATTTATATTGAAGTACATTGATTTCCAAACTATCGTGATAAATGTGTTTATAGGAATAATGATTAAACATAAAAATATATTAATATTTAAGTTTTAAATTGTACGAATTAATATTTCAATTTAGTTTTGATACAGCATTAAAAAAATTTACATTGTCAATTGATCATAAATCACTTTAAACATGATTTTTAAATTAATTTTATAAAATTTAATAACTTTGAATTATGTGATAATTCATGATTGAATGGTAATATAATTTTTTATTTTTTCGATATATTTTGATTAAATTATAAATATTTTCTTCACATAGATGAAAATTTAAAATGAAATAATTCTAATATTTAAATCATAATAATAAATATTTATACCACATTAATGTAGAAATTTTACATTAAAGCATAGAAATTTTCAATTCAAAATGGCAATTACTTACACCATGGGTGATGAGAAATTTATATGGAATTATATAAATATTTAAATTAAAGAATAAATATTTGTATTACAAAAAGATGAACAATGAAAAATTGGCACAAACATAATAAAATTTATACAATGTTTTAACAACAAACTTTAGAATTAATTTCAACTATATAAAAATAGTAAAATCTTATTAAAAATATTTATTATACTTTTATATTTCTGATGTTATAAACTCTCACTACTTTTATATATTTCTATTGACATCATTCACAAGTAGAGATTTGTATAAAACATGTTTATAAATATAAAGTCTAGATATATAGATTTGTATAGAGTCATAAACCTTATAGGAATGTGCATCGATATTTAAATAATAAAGCAAAAAATTAAATGCAAATAAAAGCTTTACATAAGAATATTTTAATATTTAAATCACAAGAGCAAACACTTGCGTCATTAGAAAATGAAAGATGTCATATAAAAGTATGTTAATATCTAACTTATAACATATTCATTTACAATACTAAAGATAAAAACAATAAATATGAACATACAAATATATAACTCGTGAGATAATTAATCACATTATATGCGAATGAAAAACATATCAATAAATATTTACATTATACAAAAACAAAAGTTATATGAAGAATCTTAATATTTAACTGAAAAGAAAAAATTATATTTAAAGTCCTATACGAGTTATAATAAAATTTATTCATTAATTAAAATGAATCATTGTAGAAAGAAATACATGACCCGTGCAATGCACGGGTTGAAATGGTAGTATGATATAAACAAAGTGAAAAGTTGTGGTTAACTTGATGTAAACGGCCCATGTGGATGGTGGACCATTGAAAACTATGAAACGGAGTCCACAAAGTCTTGCTTTTTAATTTCTTAATGACATGTACACTCATAACTATCAAATATTAAACAAATATGCATTATTGGTTCTTCACAAGGGAGAATTTGTTGTTTTGGGACCCAGACCCCAAAAGAAAGAACTTTCCTATATACCCTTTCCTTTCTTTTGCTTTCCCACTTCATGGACATTGGAGAAATGACACCCTCCACCAAAGCCTACCATTTCTTTTTTCTCTTTACTGAAAAAAATAAATTATACTAACCAGATTCCCCAAAGAGGGGTTAATTGTTTTGAAAAGAAAAATAAAATGGTGATGGGGTTGAATATTGGGTATGTACCACCAATTTTGAGGGTAGAAGAAGAAAATAATGATTAATTAGGAGCCAAAAGGAGCCCTATGAGGAATGCCTTTTCTTCTCCTTGCGTTTGAAGGAGGTGGAGGAGGCGTGGCCGGGTACATGTCTTGTTGTGAGCCTTCACGCAATTCTTCTTCTTCATGCCTTGAAGAGACTGATCTCCTTGACATTCCCTCCATTGCCGATGCCTCATTTTTAGCATCCAAAGCAAAACTTGCATCCCCATTTCTCTTTATTCCTACAAGCTAATTCAGTCATTGCCAACAGAATAATTAATACCTAGCTATCAACATACCCCAATCATACATTGATTATTTTTTATATATACATTATGCCATGTTCCCATCTATTAATCAATAATTATCTATAGGAATAAATATAACAGTAATATTATTATGGTTATTATAAAATGTCAATGGAGGACTACGTTTATTTCCAGATAGATATACATAATACACATGATGACTAATAGTGGTGGGAATATAATTATGATGTTGATGGGCTTTCAAATGTAGGTGATGATGTACGGGTGGTGGGTGTTATCCCCATATGATGAGGGTGATTTGAGTTGTGAATTACGCGCATTTTGATAATGAAATGAACAATGCTGTGAGAGGGAAATTAAACAGTAATCATGATAATATCTCACCTTACATCCCAAAGAACAGAAGCGAAATGGGTCCAAGAGGCTTCTTCCACAAATCTCACAAATGTGAGCCACTCCTTTCCCTGACTTTGGCTGAGGCCTCTCATTCAGAAACAGAACTCTTGCACTGTTTATCACATATGTCTGCACTCCACTAATGTCCAACACCTTCTGAATTTCCGCTACCCTCACTACATCGTGATACGAAGATCGCCTTATCTAATCAACAACAACACCACACCGTAATTAAGTCATCGTGCATTGTGTGACACACAATTTCAATCATTGATAGATATTATCTATAAATTCATAACCCCTCCACCCCATTGGCCAAAGTCTTTGACTTTGACATATATTTATCAAATTTCGTGAATAGAGAGAGAAGAGGAAATGCCAATGGCAAATTAATTAAATGTTCATATGTATATGTATATATATATATATATAATATAAGGTGTTGTATAGCGCCCCACCTGAATGACTTGGTGATCCTTGTGTCTTGAGGAACGGCAATAGAAGCAAAACGCATCCCCATTACAGTCGAGGCAAAACATGTTACATTCGCTCCTTGCAGCATCCCCATGAATCCCACAGACATTGAAAAAGGGTGCGTTTAGGAGTGGCTCAAGCCATGGAGGCACCAACATTGTATCCTGCTCAAAAAGCCATTCATAGGATAAACAATTTCACATTCAATTATAAATCATAATATAGGTATTCAAAGACAGGAAGAAAATCAGAAGGGCACCTTATATTATGCAACATATATATGTATGTACATACCATAGTGAAAATTGAATAATGATAATAATGTAATGTGCCTCAATGGTTGAGTGAAGAAGGCATTGGGATTCACTTCAGAAAACAAGAATGGCGGAATCAGGGAGAGAGAGAGAGAGAGAGAGAGTAAACGGGCTTCAACTAAGAATTCAACAAGACAGAAGAAGCTAAGACTATTGGGACAAAGGGTGATTAAAGAATTGGGGGTGGCGTTGGAGGGTTGAGATTAAAAGGGGTGGCTGAGGAGAGATTAGAAGCGTTGGATGAGAATGGGGTGAAGTGTTGGCGCTTACGCTACTTTGGATCTTGTTTGCGTCTCAACGTTGGAAGTGGCACAAGGTTGGGTCGGCTACGCATCAGCATCACCTCCTCTATAGCTGTATCTCCCAAATTCATCCACGATCAGGGAAACCATTGTCCACGTGCCGTCATATCCACCGTCCATCATAGATTGGTGGCCCCCAATTCCAATGCCATGCCATCACCTAGCCCTTAAAATATATACACATATGTCACCTTAATTTTAGGGAAATTATTTCTTATAATAATCTCTCAACTACGTTTGTCGTTTCTTTAGGTTCTAGTGTATATAAAATACATAAATACCCGGTTCAATATATAATATTAAATATGATTTCCAAGATATTCAAATAATATCAAAATTAATGTACGTACATACTTATTTATCTAAATTTTTATATATCAAAAAATGTTAAAAGAACATTCTCTAATGTATTTTTCTAATACATTTTAATTATTAACTAAAATTTATTAAAAATTATAAATATTGAAAAATTATTTAATTCTTTTTAGGAGTGCATAGTATAAGATTGAAGAATTTATAAAAAGGGGGGAAGAAAGTGACGAATGGATGTATTATTACAACTTTACAAGAGGCCCTTGATTTGAACTAAAAGGTCCTTTGGGCTTTGGCATTATAATTGCATGGTCTTTAATGTTGTAAACATAATCCACTCTAACGTCATCCCATATCTACTTGTTTAAAAGTTTATTTAATTTTAAAATAGGTTTTAGTTCTTTTTTGTTTGGATGTTAAGAAATCAACTTTTATATTTTTATTAAAATATATATTTTAATGTAAATTTATAATTAAAATTAATTTTAATATAACTTTAAAACAAACGACCCCTTAAGCTACTTAAAAAAATTAGTCTAAGAAGATAATAATAATAATAATAATAATAATAATACGATGTAGAGTTATGTTGTTATTTTTATTGTAGTGTTTTGATTTTGGATACTTATGTCTGTCTGTTTATAAGGCCAAACAACCTTATTCACCTATATAATATTTTAAGCATATTAGTCTATTTAGAGGAAGATTTCTACCGATTTAAAAGTCTTACTACAATTACTGGTTTTTAATAGATTTTTAAATTGAATCAAAATTTTGAAAAATAAAATAAATTTAAAATGAAGTGACATTTCTATGATAATAAAAAAATATATATTTTTCAAATCAAACAACCCCTCAAAAGACCTTTTTTTCTGTTTTTGTTTGATTAAAGAAACGTAGTTAACTAATTGATGATAATAAGCTTAGAGCTGAAAATTGATACAATGTCAATTTAATAATATATAATAAGATATAGGAATAATATAAAAAAAATAATTTAATAAAAATTATATAGTTATCAACCTTTAAAACAAAGCTAATAGTTTCAAAAGTTAAAACCTTATTTTCAATCAGCTAACCATTATATTAATTGCAATGGACATCCTTTAATAAAATAAATGTAGGCGAAATGTCATATCAGGAGAAATTATTGCGAGTGTCTCCTTGTATGTTATTTAATAATTTAATTAGATAACTTTATTACAACATTTAACGTTAAATAAAAGTTCTTGTCGTATAAATAATAAGAATTATATTACTTTTAAAATTATTAATATTTTATTTATATATTAAAATCAATAATATATATATATAATATAAAAGAATAATCTGAATACTTTTATTTTTTTTTAAAAATTAACACAAATAATATATATAATATGATTTGTCAATAAATTTATATTTTATACAAAATTATGGACAAGAATAGGTTTATAAACTAACCTGTGTTCTTGTTTTCAGTTGAATAATGAACTATAAAAGCAATGATAGGCTGCAGTCGGCAACACAAATGGCAGTGGGATCTACAGTCGTAAGTAGAAAATAGCACGAGTTGGACACTGATAAGCGTTGTGTTTTTGGAGGGGAAGTGAAGGAAGATAATTTTTTATTATAAGTTTAAAAAAATTATATTATTTATAATATTATATGATTAATATATTAAGTTTATATTATTATATTAATTTTAGATATATTTATTTAAAATATAAAATTTATTTTTCTCTTTTTATTTTTAAAACTCTATTCCTAAATTATTACTTAAAAAATTGATATATGCTAAAACTGTTTAAGTATTTATATTATTTTTATTGATATAGATTTTGAATCAAGCAAAATTATTATGTAAGTTGAAATAATTTCTTTTAATTAATCTACGTGTTCAGTGATATATAAATTTTTAAGAATACATTTTTATAAATTGTTTCAATTAATTACTTCTAATAAATATATTTTTTTGTTAATTTAATCGTTAATTATACGAGATTATTTTAATAATTATAAATATAAAAATTTATTTATATTTTTTAATATTAAATAATAAATATTATTTGAAATAATTTTAATATAAACAAATATATTATCTTGTAGTTTACATTTATTTATATTTTAAAAATATAGTGTCCATTACAATAAAATTAAGTGATGAAACATTACATGCTTCTTAAACTCTTTAAAATTTTATAATCATAATTTATTCACTTATAATATTCAATTTAACAGTTAATATATTAATAATTTATTTTTTAATAAGTAATTTGTATTACTAACGACAAATTCAATGTCAAATTAATATATGATTTTTCTTAATAATAATTAACCAGGCAAATATATACCAAATGATAAATGTAAAAAGCAAATTTTCAAAGTGCTTGTGATGTTACGAAGTTTTTTAAAAAAATAATTTTTATAATAAAAATTAATTATTTATTAAAAATTATTAATTTCAAGTATGGACGTTTGATGATTATTTAAAGTCACCGTTAATTAGTGCATTATTTCAATGGCTTATTGAAAAAGAACAGAAAGGAAAGAAAAGTCACGGGGATTTTTTTATTGTGTATATGATAAGAATGGAGATACATCTATTAAGAAAACTATTTGTACGTGAGATTGAGAAAAATAAATTTAAATTATATATGAATGATTAAAAATGAAAATGATTTAATTATATTTTTTATATTTAATATTAACTATTGATAATAGAATTTATTAATTAATGTTCATTCCTGTCAGTCATATATAAGATGAATCGGCTTAATTACTTGCATAAATGGTAAAGACAAAACCAAAATTAAAGGGGTGAGAAGGGGGAAAATAAAAAGGGAGAGTATAATAATATGTGATTAAAACAAGAAAGTGAAAGAGAAAGATTTTGAGTGAATTGAGGGAGAAAAAGACTTAAATTAGGGAGTAGCTAATAGACTTAGACCAAAGAACAAAAGCATTTTCCCCTTGAAAAGTATATCACTATAGAAGGGAAGTATGAGTGATTATGTGAAAGGAATAAAGAGTTAACAAAGAAAAAGTGGTTCCTATAGAATATCACATTAACAATTCAATTCCATGGCCTTGCTGTCAGGACATGCTTTACTTGCTATTCTTCCTTTCATGGTTACCCCTTTAGAGAGCAAAACAAAAGGTTACCGTGAATGTCGATAAGCATCGCATATTTCGCATTTGCTCAGTTCATCAACATCATTCAATCACTAAAACCCAATACAAAAAGAGAGACGTTCAAGTAGGGCTTTCATTTACAAATATACTACTTGTTTCTTGCTAACTTATAGTATGCTTTTAACATTATTTTCTTTAGTCTTCAAATTTATGTCAGAGTTGACCCAAACTCAAAGTGGATAAAGCTCTTGTTTTAGGTTACTAATATAAAAAGAAAACACATGATTACTTATTATTTAATAAATAACATTAGTCTGTCAAAAAAATAATTATTTTTCTTTAAAATTATAATTTTATCACATCTTTCATTTGTTTTATCAATATTAATCACATATTAAAGAAATACTTCATCTATTTTTTTATTTGTTCAATTTAAAAGATATCACTCAAATTATAATTGAATTAAAGTATACATTTAATATCTATAGTTATTATTAATTTAAAAATTAATTTTTATACTTAAAAAACGTACATTTCAATCTTCATATAATTATTTTGTTATATTTTATTCGCTATCATTTTAACGTTATTAATATAATTTTTTTTATTACTAATGAGGCAAAAGGCCAACAAACAATAGAACAACTAACAAATTATTCTAGGAAAAATAAATTCTCTTATCATTCTCTTTGAGGACAAAAACAAGTTGAGGAGAAGGAAACTAAAAAACAAGTTCATCTTTGCATTTGAAAAGTAAAGATATGATAAATACTAATTATTCTAATAGAAAATATCAGCAACTTAATTTCTTTTGTGACATGATACATTTCATGATTAGGAAAAACATTAAAATTAACTAAAGTTATGGCTAACTTTGAATCCATTTCAACTAAGACACCCTCCAACTTAAAGTGTTTAATTAGCCTAAGTTCTATTAAAAGTACCCACAACTCAGAGTAATAACCCAACTTTCTTATAAAATTAACAAAAAAACTGTCTTGATCATCCTTGATCAGGCCTCCACATGAGGTCAACCCTAAAAATTACGAACCGAGCCATCCACATTGAGATTGAAACATCACAAAAGAAGAGAGATTCAACAAACAAGACCTTATAGGTCCTGTAGATGAAAAAAAAAACATAATTAATTGAAATGTACTTAAAATAACAAATATGTTTTACACAAAAAAATCTTTTGAATTCAAAGATTTCCTATTAAATACCCATAATAAAAAAATTCAGAGAATTCAATTTACAAATATTATATATTTATATTAACACTATATTATATTATAGTAATAGAAAATTTATTAATATAAAAATTGATGTATATTATTAACATTTTGAGTATTAATATAATACACCATATTATTCATATAAATTTACAATGTTTGTAATAATTATGTTAAATAAAATGTAAATGCACAAAAGCAATTATAATGAAGTTATCCTCCGTTCCGCTTCCTCCCACACAAATATATCTAATAATGATTTCAGTTAAAAATAATTATAAAATATTATAAGTTTAATAACCATTAAATTAAAATTAATGATCACGATTTTTTTCTATTTAAGTTTTTTATGTCGGAATTCATATCTATTATAATGCCTAACATTTTTTTCTATTAATAAATGATAATTTTCAGTGCACACATTAAATTAGACAAAAATATTCTTTTTCGAGAAATGGTTAAATTATATTGTCTTTTAATTTTAAAATTTGTACGCTCTTTCTTAATGTAATGACGTAAATAAATTTATTAATGGACGGTGAGTAACTATGAATGAATTTGTAAGGATATTTTGTTTTATCTTCAACTTCTCTTAACTATGACATTAGTAGCTAATTTTTATCATATATTATCAATGTTGATATTTTAGTTAATGAAATTATGTTAAGAACACTCACTTTATCGGCTTTAAAACTTCACTAAATCTTCAGTTTATGTTTTGAAGTCTCAAAAATTAATAGTAAAATTTAAAATTAATTATTGATAATGTTAATGCTAAGAGTCACATAAGGAAAAAAATCTTAAGATATTTGTTTACATTAAAATAAAATAAATTGTATATATTAATTTATTGAGAGAGTGTATTTTATTTAATTAAGATAAATATTTATTTTTAACTTTATTTTAATCGTTTATTTCTCTGTTTAATTTTAATTTAGTCCTATTTATAAATTATTACGATAAAAAATAAAAATCTTTTATAACTAAATAAATATATATTTTTAATAATAAATTATAAAATTTTATAAGTTTTTAAAATAATTATATTATATATATATAATAAATTATTTTTAACAATAACTTTCTTAAAAAATATTTTAGAGGGTAAAAAATCTCTGTTTAGCCTAGCCATAACTATCATCTGGGTAAAGAAATTTTGTTTGAACATGTGTTACTTGAATCAACATCGGTGGGAGGGGGAAGTAAATTATATAAATCCCTTATCATTAACTCATTATTAATGGCTTAATTTTATTATCTAGTTAATCGACAAATTATTTACTAATTCATGTTAAAATATTACAAAATGAAATGAAATATTAATGATGATAGAACAAAAATGAAATTATGAATAAATTTGTTTTTTTATTGTGGTAAATAATTAAAACCCCTTAACATCATTAACTCATTATTGATGGCTTAATGTTATCTCAATCAACAAATTATTTCCTAAATCATTAAAAAATTAAAAAAAATAAATAAGAGGCTCTATCCTAGCGAGCTCAAACAGAAGCTTTATGTATATATGAAGCAAGCTAGGCTGGCATGGCAAGTTGGCAACATGGGAGTGTGGTGTGTGTGTATATATATATATTCATGCAGCGTCTTTACGCTGATCTGCATGCAATTTCCTCATTATTCAAGCTTTGATTAGCTTAATTAATTGATTTTGTTTAAATGATGGGTGGAAACATGCAATTGCAGGCGCATCATTTGCTGCCACAAATCACACTTTGAAAGCCTAAGATCAAGAACACCCTGGCATATTAATTATAATTAACTATTCTGTTTAATTTTTATCTTAATATTATTTCTATGTATGAATTCTGACATACGTGTGTAAGAAAGAAAACCATATACATGATCGAATATATACCTTCCAATTATAGTGTTGGCAAACTCTATGATAACACCTTTTGGTATTTGCACTTTGTACCAAAAAAAGGAAAAACAAAATCCTTGAGATTACTTTCAAGCTATAGCTTTTCCTTTTTTAAACGCGTTGTCTACTTTATGATAGCATAAGCAATGTGGAAACCAATACTCCTTCTTTTTGTCGTAGCAATGGCCAATTCAATCGAGGAGTGAGGACCATTAATATAATTGATCATAAAAATATAAATTATCAGTGGTACTTCAAAACATTGGTTTCCTCTCGCCAAAAAGGGTAAAACATTCTTCGATCAATGCTAATAATGTTACCAACGATGGTAACTTCATGACAATCCTAGTTTCCCATTTTCCCATTTACTCCAAAACATTAATGAAAACCTTATCATATACACATATATAATTTTTGAATTAGACATGTCCAACTTTTTTATCACACACAATCTTTCTTTACCTTTATGTACAATTTACTCGTATATATTACATTGCCTCTTGAATCCTTGACTTAGAAGACACAAATAATCATCTATTTATTACTTTTTTTTTTCATATAAGAATGTGTTAACTAAATCATAGATATTACGAAAAAAATATTAAAAATAGTTAATGTATTAAATTTTAAAAAAATATTATAACATTCTTTGTCTCTAATTAAATTTAAATTCTATTATTACATTAATTGTTAACACATTAGAAAGAATCAAAGATAAATAATAAACGCTCTTAATTTTTATAAGTAATCTTACATTAAAACCAATAAAAATATCTAAAAGAATCTTATAAAAAGGTATATATATATATATATATATATATATATATATATTTTAAAAAAAATGTTCAATGGTACAAATTTTACAAATTGATGGGATGGAAATTATATACAAATTTATCACTAATATTCACCTAACCTCTTGCTTTTTTAAAATTTATTTTTTGTCTAATCAAATATAAACACTTGGTTTCATTATAAATTTGTGTAAAATAATTTACATTGTCAAGCGATCCTCTACCTTTCTTCATATAAATATATTATTCTCATTTCAGGCTAGCTTTTCGATATGCCCAATCTAAGTTTGTTTTGAATGAGAGGTAAAAAAAATAAAGAAAAACATAATAATGTACTTTCTTAATTGATTAAAACAAAAAAAATAATTTTTGAAACAAAAACTTGAAAAACGGTTTATAACATCAAATCTTATATTTTAAATATGGTTTTAAAGATAAAAAAAAAAAGAGAGAGAGAAGAACAGGGACATAAATCATCAATTTTTATTCTTTTTCTCTCCTCTCCTCTCATTTATTTCTTCCAAAACAATGGGAAGGAAGTCTTCATTCTCAAACATGAGAAAATGTTTATTATAATCTTTTTTACTTTATAATAAATGGTTATTATTTGGTACATATTATTTAAAAAATATATCAAGTTATTAATCATTTTTAAATATTCCTTTTTATGTTAATGTTTTCCCCCATTCAATTGCAACTTTAATTATTTTTATGTTATTTTTTTCTCATTTCAAAGTTCATTTACTTGTATATTTAAATTAGTTGTTTTTTTTAATTCACTCTTTTCTCCTAAATCAAGACACTTACATTTTTATATTATTTATCCTTTATAAAATTCACATTTCTTTTATAATTTTAATAGTGTATATATATATATATATATATATATATATATATATTCATGAAATATTTGCTAGTAAAGTTGGAATATTTAATTAAATGACTTTAAACACTTTTCTTATTCACATTAAATTGACATTTACTTATCCAACAGTTGAAAAATAATAGATTTGACAGAAATCATCCGAAGATGGGTATTGCAGATTTAACACGAAGCATTTAATCTCATTTTAATTACCATCTTAACTTCCTCTCAACAGCATCACTTGCCTGAGAGTTTATGACGTATAGGTTTGGCCCAATTTGTAACTTGACCAAAGTGCAATTATGGGTAGACAAGATATCAGGGAGGAAAATGTTTGGGTTGCTTTTGGATCTAATCTAGATTTCTTTTTCCCCTAAATAAAGTTATGTGCACTGAGACATGAAAATTTATTAGAATTAAAATATGATGCTTGAGGATAAATTCAATATTTTTTTTAGATTATATTAAAATATTAAAATATATTTATATTTTTTAAAAATATATCACTAAAATCTACGGTTATAATTATTCTGCGTATATAATAATTATTCTACGTATATAAAAATATATAATACTCTTTTATTTTCTAGAGTATAATAAAATTTACTTTAAAGTATATCTTGAAACTCAAAAAGTTCTTATAAATATATTTGCAAATCACCTACCATTAAAGTCGGGATCTAATTTAGTTAGAAAATATATATTCCATAGTAGTTATCCAAATCTGATAATCATTTATAGATTGTGACTAAACCCTCCTTATTCAATAATAAGGAGACATTGTTGAATTAGTCCATACAATTATATGAGAGTAAATTAAAAATATTATTTATTTTAGTTAACTTTTAATATAAACAAATATTAAATAATGCTGTTATCTAAAAAAAGTATAGTAAATATATCTCTTCCATAATTTTTAATACAAAATTTACAAATTTTTTAAATTTCTTAACTACTATTTTAAAGGCATTAATTAGAAAATCCTTTAATATAATACAAATAAAATATAAAACTAGAATAAATTATCTTTTTATATGATTAGACTTTGAGAATTTTTATATTTTTTGGTGAAGACATTTGAGAATTTATTTAAACAATGGTACCGCGACAACCAACCAACGCGACAAGGACGTGATTTCCTTAAAAAATAAAGAGGGATGAAATTTCTTCGTCCCGCGAAGGTTGCTTAGTGAGAGAGGCAAAACGCAACGCGTAACGGAAGTCGTTGCTTAGCATCGTCACAAAAGCGAGACGAGAATTTCATAGTTCCCAACCAAACACACTGCAAACTCTTTCATTCCCAAATTTCAAACGCTTTTTTCGGAACAAAGACAATGTCCACTAGATTTCGGTAACCCTCTTTCAGTTCCTTTCATCGCTGATTTCATTCATCACGTTTTGTGTGACCAACAAAGCATTCATTCCCATGCCATGTGTTTACGCGCAGAGGATCACAAGAACACCAACATGGTTCTTCTTCCACCAGCGACACTTCACATGTTCCCCCAGCTCAAGCTGCTCGATTTATTGCTATTTTCAAGGATAAAAGGTTTCTGTTTTTTTATGTTTTAATTTGGTTGTGTAACGATGCGTTGACTTGATTTTGCAGTTTCTGTTTGATGCTGTCAATTTTTTTAAAAAAAAATAAGTCATATTTAATGTGTTTTTGTTCGTTATGATGAACTGGGCAGTGTTGATGAGTTGCGGAAGCTTATATCTGACAAAGACTCGTATCAGGAGTTGTTGCGTTCACTTGATGACTTCAAGATTCAAAATAAGGTAAGTCACGTGTTTTCACTGTCCTATGTATGCATGGACAATGGTGGTTTACATCTGTAGAACTCTGTTTTCGTTTTCCTGCTTTTCTGGGGCGTTTTCTCTTTGTAGTTTGTACCGAATATTTATGCTTTTTTTAGATTGTAATATATGAAATAGTTATGATCATGATAGAGATGTAGTTGGAGGTGAGGCTTCAACTACATCCAGCCTAGAGTCTGCTAGTTAGTGATTGTTTGGATTCATGTTATGAATCCATGTTGACTTCAATGTTACTAGTTGTAACTTCTGCCACGCTTACAGGTTTTTCAACATGTTTGATGACTATCTTTTTTCATCTTTGATATTTGTTAACTTCATTGCATTGCTTGAGTAATGAATACTTTTATTACCACTACATCAGTGTTGAGATAGTGTTCGGTTACTTGTAATGTTTTGCCATGATCTTTGTAGTGGAAGAATTGGAGATAGGTATTCATTAGAAGAATTGGAGATAGGCATAAATATCTCAGTGAGAAATTCTCCAAGTTGGCTGTACATTGAGAAGTTATGCTTTAGATATCATCTCGTTGAATTAGGGCAATTATTCCTTGATCTAGTACTAGTTGTCTGCTGTGTTCATGAGAAGTGTGTACAGAGTTCAAGGGAAAAAGATAGAGTGGCTAATTGGCTGAAACAGAGTTCTAAAATGTGGATATGGATTATATATTTTAAGGTTTTGTTGAATTTTTCTTTTTTCTTCCAAACTACTATTATCTACAGTTAGAAATTGGAAGAGTCATGGCTTTCATGTGGTTTTGGATGATTGATAAAGAGGAAGAGTGTTGGCCTAATCAGGCCAGCATTATCCTTAGACAATCGAGCTTTTACATATCCCAGTCTCAGCACATGGTGCCTATCATAAGTCATCCCTTTGGTAGTTTCTCTGTCAGATTAAGTTTTTTGTGTAGTGGCAGGCGGTTAGTTCTACATATGTTCATCAAAGCGAGGTTGAGTTCAAATCCCTCGTTACACTGGGGGAAGTTATTGCCATAGTCAAGCTAACATCATCTATAGGATTTTTAGGTTTAACTTCCCAACCCCTTGTATCGGGTGCAGGACCTTGCTACTTTTATCAGTTCTAAGAATCATTAAGGAAATAACACAGCATTCTAACTAGCTACTTAAGCTTGTGGTGGCTGTCATCTACTTGTATTTTATTCTGCATAGTTGCCATAGGTATCAATGTCAGCACTGCATCGATAGTGCAATCCATGTGTCCAAACAATTGGAATGGTTTTTAATTGCACATTTCATAGGGTCACTCACACCCACGTAGAACTGCACAAGCGGTTCCATCACTTAGTCGGGGTGACTCGGAATTCAGCTAGAGTCACTTCTGCAAAGTTGGAAATGCAGTTGTAATGTTGTTTAGATCTTTACTCAATGCTTTGACGGCATCATCCACCCCGACCTCCCCCGTAAATGCTGAAAATTCTACTGTCCTTTTGCTTGTATTTTTAACTGTTTTTTACCTAATGATTTGATCAGCTGAAAGATGAACTTTGCAAGGAGAATATGAAGCTTGTCGGTGAGTTATTGAATTCTTTTGTTTGTTGCGCTGCCATTAGATGGTTAGCTGCCAGCTGATTATTTTAGAGCTTCTCAAACAATTTTTATTTTAATTCAGAGGAAAATCTACAAAAGGAACCTCGTATTGTGGAACTCAGGAACCAGGTACGATCATAATCCTATGATTTGTGTGGTTCTTTTTTAAAAAGTTTGAAACTTCCCTCCTCATATGGAAACAGTGTAGAATAATTTGGACGACTGAGTTAGCTGCTGCTCAAGAGAAATTAAACGAGCTTGAGAAGCAGAAAGATGAAATGTTGAAGTTGAATTCCCCAGTATCCCTTTTCCAAAAGATTCAAGGTACCACTTACTGAGATAGATTCATAATTATTATATTCACGATATTTTATGATTAACTTATGACCTACCTGTTTCTATATAATGATTTCACAGAGGCTATGAATAAGACAGAAGAGGAATCTGAAAATCTTCACCAGCAAGTCCTTGACAGAGAGATTGACCTTGGAGCTTTCTTACAGAAATACAAGAAGCTGCGTACCGCTTACCACAGGAGAAGTCTCAGACATCTTGCAGCTAAAACATCAAATATATGAGGCATCACATAAGGAATACGACAAATAAGAATGTAACTCCCTTGTTTGTAGAGCATGTAATTGATTTTTGGTTCATTCTTGTCAATATAGTTGTCATCGGTCAATACAAATGTTTTCATTTTTATGTTGTTTCAGACCATCTAGAAAAGAGTTATTCACAACTGATCTACACCTAGCTTTTGCGTTACTTTCATCCATATTATATTTCAAAAACTACGTGATGTAACTTGTAATATCATCCCTAATAAAGGATCCCAATTTTGTGTTTCGGAAATGTGTAAAATGCATTGACTTCCTTTTCTTCTCTCTCCCTTTTTCCCCTTTTCATTGGTTGAAGTTGATCAAGTATACCATTGCAAAGGACAGTATAAAAAACCTATCAAAATGCTAATTTGTTTGAAAAACAAAGGCCATATTACAATAAGAGAATGCGCTAATTATGGTTTTTCTTCAACATCGATTACATTTCATCTGTCCCAAGAAATGGTAAAGATAATAGCCTCTAGATATTTTTTCTTAAACTTTAAAAGATGTCCACATAATTTGCAGTTAGGTGATGTTGAGTGCTTATAATGTTAACAATCGCCTCCTTCTAAATGAAAAAAAAAAAACGATTTGGGGAATGTGAATTTCTATAATCAAGGCCGGGTGATCAATTGGAAGTGCAGAATATCCCATTGCCTTCTGCAAAACAGACTATTATAATACAATTTTCATGACAACTAGTATTGTAGTGTTCTCATATATTTTCACTACTTTTTTTCTTGTTTCCTTAGGTTGTACATGGAAAATATAGGAAGAAGGAACACTGATCGGAGGTAATAAACCATATAAATACAGCCATACTAAACCTGGAAGAGGTATCATAACCTGAAGCAGATGTGGCTTGGCCTGTGTCTAGCCATTGCTAAGACATAAAAGTAATCAACGATAGTTGAAACAAATAACTTAACTCAGTTGATTAGTCACCTGCTACGGCTGCCCTTCAGGAAAATAACAAAATTTGATCTTCTACAACAGTGAGCCAACTGGCTCAAATTCTAATAACAGTAGGGGTCATTTTTCTTCTAAATAACCGAGCTCTTTCTCCCACTTAAAGCCAAACATTTGCCGACCAAAAGGTACAATGAGGTTATACCGGAAAACCTGCCAAAAAATGTAGATTTATTACATGTGCATTACAAATGTGAAAAAGGACTAAGATTTGAAAGGACCAGGAACTCGATTCTCCAATTCCCAGCAAATATTAACACACCAAGGTGACTTAGCTCACCTTATCATTGATTTCTTGCAACTGCAATTTCAAAGCCTCTGAACTTTCAACCCACTTAGAGTGATCTCCACTGCATTTAGTACCCCAAGCTTTCTTCAAGGATACCCTCCATTCAGATATTTTAGATCTTATCTCTTTGTTAAGCTCAACCCACTCAGGTGCACATCCATTTTTTGACAGGATTCGGTACAAGGTGTCTTCAGCTGGATCTGCATGAGGATTTGTGTCAAGCTTAAGTGGCTTGCCTTTCCCAGGCAAGTTCTCAAACTGGCCTTCTTCCATGGAATGCCATATTCTTTGCTCAACAACATTGATCATGTCAGTTTCTGACCTGTCCAATAGCCAGTTTGCATTAAACACCAGATGTTTTAAGCCAGCATAAATTTATTAAAAGTATTGATTTTCAGCATAAATTCATTAAAAGTATTGATTTTCAAGCCTAATTCCACTGTACAAAAAGTGTTATTCTCATGCCCTACTGCAGGATGCATTATTTTCACCAGTAGGGTTGAGACACTAAGGTGGCAACTGGACTATCAGAGTAGTGCAAGTAATAAGGGCTATGGACATCATCAGCCATGGCTGAAAGTTGGAGAATAAAGAGGATCAGACAGCGAAAAAAACAGAGAGGAAAGAGATCAAATTTCTGATACCATATTTAGAATTTAATGAACTGAGAGTAATGAGAGAAATGCAATCACTCAATTAAATTAAGAAATTACGAAGCGTATTGGTTACAATTAGTCCTCACCTACATATAGTAGCATTGAGTAACTGAATAACTGTAACTAATTTAACTATTCACAATGAGTAGAGCTAACTCTCTGGCAGTTAAGCTAACTGCGAATACTGACCATTGGAGGATGTGAAAACCAATGATAAAATACTGCCAATAGGGAACAGCTAAGGTGCATTTGGAAAAGTAGAGTTCAACTGGTTTCAAACCTATTAGCAATATCATATGAGAAATATGAAGCTTTTACTTATTTTTGTTTTCAAATCTATCATTTCGATTTTTGTTTTATTGATTTTGTTAACATTAACCTTCTGAATAATTTTAAGCATACCAAAATGATAAGTTTTATTGAGAAAGAATGTATTTGTTACATTTTGGTATTTCTGATATAAAAAATAGTTACATTCCCAATAAAATCTTACTACTTTTCCTTGTTTCATATCTAAAGTAATAGATTCAGTTCTTAAAAGAAACGTGAGGAGTTATAAGAAAATCAAAGAATATATTTAAACAACTCCATAATTAATTATTTTATCAAAATTTTATCCGTTAATTTTTTTTATCAATAGTTAAAATTCCGCACTTTGCAGAGTTACATCCATCAATTTCATATTCACTGTCAAATTGAACCTGTGGAATTGCCGAGAGAGAGAAATATGCAACAAAGATAGCGCCAAATGGTGTCATTTGATGTTGATCCATGTAGCCAATTCTACCCAGAGGGTCAAGGCCGGGTTGTTTTATTGTTGTTGGATTCAATATTCACATGAATCAGAACAGAAGATAAGAACCATTTCGTTGACACAACAAAAACGACATAACTACGATTCGTAAAACGAGTGCACCACCGTACAAGCGATTCAGGACTTATAGAGCAGAAAAATCTCTCACAAACATTCACAGTTAACAATCGTCACGAATTTAGAATACTTTATTGAAAATTGATTCCAAAAACAGGTACAATTACATATATAAATGCGTTTATGATTACCTGACATGGTTGCGCTGGCCACGTAGCTCGGGAGGTAGTTTGCAATCGTTGACGGCGTCAATGACGGCCGAAAGACGATCCATGAGCTTCTTCCCCGTCTTTGACTTACCGGAAGATGACGACGACGACGACGACGACGAAGATGAAGAAGAGGAGGAGGAGGAGAACCTAGCGGAGAAAACGAAGAGAGAGCGCGAATCGATAGTTACGCATCTTCGAAGGCGAAGGCAAGTCGCCATGCTCATCTCTCACACTACCCCCGATTTCTGCTTCCCCACCTTCCTTCCTCGTTTAAGTGTCCCTCTTCATTCTCCAATTCCACCGGTCTCCGTTGTTACAAAATCTAAAATTCTAATCAATATTTTTTAAAATTATTTTTGACAGTTTTTAGTCATTAAATAAATAAATTTATAAAATTAAAAAATTAACAATTATTTCACTGTATTATTTTATTTTAATAAGTAATATTTATAAAATATAAACAATATCAACATATTTATAAATATTTAAACTATATAAAATTTAATATATATAATTATAAAAATAATTCAACAACTGAATCCTAGTTAATACCAATACATGGCCCCTTTCTTTTCCAACACGTGGCTTCTCTTATATCCAAGTAATGGCCTTGCAATCTCTACTTTAAAAAGAATAATTTACATCATGTTAAAAACAAAGCATCAGGTAAAATAAGGTTTAAAAAATGTACTTTAATCCTTACGTTTGAGTCATGGACGCATCAAAATTTGATATTATCGTGCATAATTTAATGAAATTATGAATTGAATTCCTTTTTTTTTTTCAACAATTGAATTCCCTCATGATAAAAAGGATGAAGAAAAAAAAAAGGAATTGCAAAAGAAGTGAATAGTGAGGCCCAACAAGTATATCCATCTGAGCAGGGTCAATGCTCCATTATGTTGTAATAATAATAGGGCTTAATGATTAAAATAATATTTTTTAAAAATTAATTATTAAAATAAAGTAAAAAAATTATTTTTTATTTAAGGTAAATTTTTATCATATAAACAATAATTTTGTATTTAAATTAGATAAAATTAATTTTTATTTATTTAATTATTTTGTCTAAAAAAATAACAAAACGTGTTAATAATTTCACACAAAATCATAAAATTACGTGTCAAAATCTCGTTAAATATTAGATATCAACACGTGTGTTTGTGTTGTTGATTTGAGGCGAAATTATTTTTACCCACCGGTGGACCGACTGTTGCTGCACCCAACTGTTTCTAATCCCCTGCTGGTTCTATTATCCAGATGAATATGATCTCTTGCCTTGTGCTTTTTCCCAATTGTTTTGCTTTGTAGAAATGTTATGCACGTGCAGGTGATGCTCGTAACGGGATAGATGTTTTTTTTCCTACCTTCTTCCGAATAAATAGAAGTAATATTGTTTGGTTCTTCACTCTTGCAATGAAGCTCATCGGGTCGCAAAACCTGCAAGGATCTGATAATCTTTAACCAGAAAAGAGTCAAGCATGGATTGGAATTTTAAATATGGATTGAAAGTGTTCATTTTGACTTGAATCCCAAGTCTTGAGCCGATTTAGAAACCTTTTCGTGAAGGATAAGTGATGGGTGCAGCTATGGCAACAATACGAAATAATTAAATAAAAAATAAAAAAATTAATTTCATTTGATTTAAATACGAAATTATTGTTTACTTGACAAAAATTTACCTCAAACAGAGAATAATTTTTTTTACTTTATTTTAATTTTTTAAAAATATTATTTTAATCATTAAACCTAATAATAGAGACTAATGTAACAGATTTTTTTAGCATTTCAAGAGTTAAAATAAATATTTATTAAGTTATGAATAAAACTAACAGAAAATTTACAAAGCTAATAATTAAAAAAATGATTTATTTATTAAAAATCCCATAAAAGTAATAAATAATAGAACAAAAATTAAATTCAATGAAACATGTAAAAATTGTAAAATGGGTTTTTTTATATTCGCAAAAACTTGTATATATGCCCTTAGAATTACAATATGCAACCAAAGTCTAATAATGGTTTGAAAAATCAACATTGCCAAATGTCCACCCTATTGTTAAATTTTGGTGGGCATTGTGGAAATATGTCTCGCAAGAAAACCAATATTAGAAGATAACTAATTATATATTTCATTTCATATATAAGAAAAGGGCAACAGCAAAAATGTCATAAATCAAATATTTGAATTAGCTTTCCTGAGGATTGATATTTCCCAAACTCAAACAAAAGGATGAGTTTTCTTGCATTTGAAGAGAAACTATTTTAATCAATAAATAGTGTGTAGTGTAGGTTTTCATTCATACTTCAAAACCTCTTTAAATTACGAGTATCATCTTTTTATATAGAAATCATGGGGACTTATCACAGCAGGAAAAGCCAAGTTCACATTTTTGTTGTTGTTAAGGTATCAAGAAATATATGCTCTTCAGGATCAAAAAATATGAAAAGGAAAAGCGTTGTTTTAAGCTCAAACAATAATGAACTTATTATTCAAATAAATCCAGGCATGGCTACTGTTCTTGGTTTGATAGTGGATTGACTCAAAGTATTTCTGATACATCTAGTTACACAAACAATTTAAGACTAGTAATACTAGTTTTAATCTTGCTTGGAATGAAGATTATTGAATGTAATTCATATCAGTCATTATCTTAATGCAGTGAAGCTAATTCAGAATTATTAGCACAAGAGATTGGTAAGCTCTAATCATTCATGATTGAGACACTTTATCTAACACACTTCTTTTTATTTATTTTTTATTTTTAATTAAAATTTAAAAATAACTTAAAATATGTTATAGCATTTATTTTTTCTTCCGAAAGAAATGCTAATTTTTTTTAGTAAAGTTAAAATTTTTCGTAGAAATACTATTGCTATTATTCATTCTTTCTCTGTGGACTTAATTATATGTAATAAAAATAATTATAATAATATCTTATTTTATTTTCAGTTTGAAATGATGAGACATTGGCTAGTTGCACAGAAGGAGCCAGTCTTGCATGTGGGACAGTGAGACTCAAAATAAAAGCTGTGATGTTTTGTCTTTTATAAACAAAATAGGACATTAAGTAATCGTGTATACGAAAAAAGAAGGTTGTGCAACTTAGCACGAATCACATCCAAAATTATAATAATGTCTACACTCTACAACATATGTCAATGTTCCTACATCTAAAATAATATAATAATGTGTTAACAATAATAAATACACACAATTTTTGCTTCGTACAAATATGTGTCATTTATAATTTTGATAATTTTTTATAGGATAGAAAAATCACTTATTTATTTGGTTTTTTACTGGGCTTAAGTCATTAAATATTATAATATTAAGAATTTCAAAAGATTGAAATAAACTATGACAATGTTTCATTTATAGTTTTAAATAACTGTTAAATATTCATAAAATAAATAACAAAAAATCAATCTTTTATAATAAAATTATTTTATTGATTAATTTTATTCTCACAACATTTTATTAAAATTAAGATAAATGAATAAAATAAATGATATGACAAAAAGAATTACAAAAAAGTGTTGAAAAAAGCTATATAAATATTTTTAATATTATTTTTAAATTAAAAATTTATTTTAATAATTTATGAAATAAAGATTTATATTAAATGTTAGTATATATTATCGAGATAAAATCCTATTTTTTACTAAAAATAATGTAAAACACTTATAAAATTGTATTTAAATTTTATGCGTGTTTCAACAATATTTTATTTAATATTTTTAAAATAATAACTTAATATTACAAAATTAATGATAAAATTTATTAAAATGATTTAAAAATAAATAAATTGTATTAAAAATTATTAAAATAATTTATGAAATTTGTTCATAAGTTGTTTATCCTTTTAGCATTATCTACCTCTAAAGTACTAATGAGTTAGCAATAAAAAATACTGAATTATTGCTTCGTAATAAAGTGTTATCAATGATTTATGAATATGACAACCCTGGCTCTCATTTTCCCTCGAACCACCACATAAAAAAGGAACAAATCACCATTTTTTTCATGTGTGCTTGTTAGTCTTAATGTCTTATCTGTGATTTGAAAGAAATCACACACATGAGGTGAAGTCAGTGTTTCTGAATTTCTTTCTCTTTTTCCCTGTAATTCCAGCACCCTATTATTAAATCGAATCAATGTATGTGATCCCACATGTCTCTTTCTGTCCCTTTCAATCTTGGTATGCTCAATAGACGTTGTTGCAATTTTCAATCGGAGTTCGTGTAAGGTCCCATTATCCCATTCGCAAAGATAAATTATATAAGTAATCAAACAAGTACACTGTTATATTCTCCCTGTGATCCACCATATGATAAGATATTTAATCTATACAATTGTTTAGGTAGATAGAAGATAAACAATGATGAAAAAACAACCAAGCGTTAAAGAGTCTCTTTTCATTTGGATGTGGGGATCTCAGCAATATCTTACCAATTATTTTCCTGATTCATTCTCTTCGTTTTCTAGATCCACTAGTTCAACCCGTTAAAAATGTTGAAAATGAATTAAAAAAATTGTATTTAGCAATACAAATATATAACTTATGTAGAAATTTAAATTTTTTTATTGATAAATTAGTAAAGTTTTCTAATAAATAAAAAATAGATAAGTTTATAGTTTTAAAAAACTTATATTTTTTACAATTTAATTTATAAAAAAATCCTCAAAATATTATTCAATTTATTAAAAAGTATTTTTAATAATTATTTGTTTTAAATTTCAAAATAATTTGTGCTCATAAAATAATTTATTTTTTTTATCATTCAACACATTTCAACTAATTTTATTTAATAATTATAATTTATTTTGTAATTATAAATTTTTAACTAACTTATTAATTATTGATTATAATATTCAAGTTAATTTTACTAAACAAAATCTTTTTTCTTTTTTTTCATATATGAGTTAGGATGCTTTAATACCAAGTGTTAAACTTATACACTTACATCACTTAATAAATTTTCATAGAATGCAAGATCAATTAATCCAATCATTAAAAATTTATCATCTAAAATATAATATTTATTTATATTTTAAAAATATATTATTCTTAAAATAAAATAAAATATATATTAATTTTATTTTTTATGAAACTTTATAAAGTTACACTTACATCATTTGGTAAATTTTCATAGAATGAAAAATTGATCAATCCAATTATTAAATCATCTTATATTATCTTATATATTTTCTGTTAAAATAAAATAAAGTATATCTTAATTTATTTCTATATGAAATTTTATAAAATTAATTTACTTGATAAGAATTTTTTTAGTTTATAATTAAATTAATTAGTATTATATTCAATAAAAAGTTATTAAATACAAGTTTGACACCTAGTATGAATGAATCGTAACTTTATAGTTTAATTAATCTAACTATTGATTTAAAAGTTTTTGTTAAATATATATTAACTGTTATATAATTTTATAAAAAATTATTAAATACTTTGCTATATTATTTTATTTTGAACATTCAAGTTCAACATTTATTTGTTCTAAGCTTAAGTTTTTTTTTTATTGTATTTGATTTATTCAAATCTCTCACACACTTCTTAGCTCATAAAATATTTCGATAATATTATTAAAAAATAGAAATTGTAAATTGTCTTGTGCCTTCCTCAACTAGGTAGCTAAAGGCAAATATTTCGAGTTTAAAAAATTGAGAGATAAAAAATTAGGTAAAAGAAAAATGAGATATAGCAAAAGTAAAAAAAATGAAAGAGATCATGGTGTTAGAAATAAGTAAATAAGGTTAGAGAAGTGATGGATAACAATTTTGGCATCACCAAAAATCTTGTACGGAATAGTTTTCAGTGAAAATTAATGAAAAAAATTAGTATATGAATTTGTTTAATAACAAATACCAAAATGTTTGACAAATAATAATCTGAGAGACTAAAATATATTATAGGCAACAATCTAAAATACTGAAATAAATAAAAACACATATCATATAATATAAAATATCATTTTTTTTACGTAATTAATTATACATATAACTTAATGTAATTTATTATTATGTTATTATTTGTTGAAAGTGTCTGAAATTAAAAACTAAAGTACCTACCAGAATGAAAGTAAAAACCTGTCATAATATTTTAAAAATTAAAATACTTGATATTTATCATGTGAATGATTTGTTAAAGTAATTTTTAGGTACCTTAAAAATCAAAATAGCATTGTACATTTTCTCACACGGAAAATAATTATGATTGTTAATGATATATTAAATATGTATAATAGATAAAGAGAATTAATAATTTATGTAAAAAAGATAAAAATACTTTTTAATCTGTGGAATATGAAAATTTTCAGTTTAAATCTTAAATTAACACTTATTTTATTTTAAAACCCTCTGGCGCCCACAAGGAAAAGGAGCCTCAAAATCGAGTCAACTAAAGTTCGAAATTCAATTATATTAATTAATTTGATTAAATGATATTTAGAAAAAGGAAAGTTTAATAATTCTTAAGAATCTTGATTCATTCACTTTCATTTGAAAAGTGAGAGAGGCTAAAGCATCGTGTCAGCGTGCATGCTACACAGACCACTAGTTTAGTTTAAATTTAAACGAAATGAAATTGGAGGAGAAGTTTACGTATATATATGTGTGTTGTTGTTGCCACATTCTGTTAATGTAAATGAATTCAGCTTATTATCAATAATCAGCAACTAACGTGGCCTAAAGAAACTGTCACTCTTCTCTTTCTCTATGTTTCAACTTTCAATGCACCCACCCCATACCACCCATTCCCATTAGAAAAAGAAAATCCAATAATTATAATTATAATTAAAATGCGGTGTTGCATTTTGATGTTGTTGGCCGTAACCGCCGTGCTGCTGTCGGTGGTGTGCGGTGGTTTCCTCCCTCTGGAACGGAGCATTCCTCTCAGCCACCGTGTGGAGGTGGAGGCCCTCAGAGCTCGCGACAGAGCTCGCCACGCTCGAATCTTGCGCGGCGTGGTTGGCGGCGTCGTCGATTTCTCAGTCCAAGGCACCTCCGATCCATACTCCGTTGGGTACGGGTAATCCTTTTCTATATTGTAAATTTGTAAATTTGGGTACGGGTAATCCTTTTCTCTTCATAAAGTTTTCCGGAAAATGCATTTATTGTATGTTATAAAAAAATATTTCTATATTGTAAATTTGTAATGCTTAGTTTTATTTTATTTTTCTGATTGCTTATTAAGTATCAGAATTTGAGCGAGATAATTCTTTATTATCTTTTCTGATATCTATGTTGTTATATTTATTTGTTTGTTTGTTTGTTCAGGTTGTATTTCACCAAAGTGAAGATGGGATCTCCTCCTAGAGAATTTAACGTTCAGATTGATACGGGGAGTGATATTTTGTGGGTTAATTGCAATACATGTAGTAATTGCCCTCAGTCTAGTGGACTAGGGGTGAGGATTTTGAATTTAATTTGACTTTGATGTTTGTTATTATCGTGCATGCTTGTGGTGCCTCGGGAAATAAGGTTTTGATTTGGTGCTTAGTGCATTGCTTTTGTTGTTGATTGTGTTTTGTGGTGTGTAGATTGAGCTCAATTTCTTTGACACGGTTGGGTCTTCCACAGCTGTGTTGGTTCCTTGCTCGGACCCAGTATGCACTTCTGGGGTGCAGGGTGCTGCAGCTGAGTGCTCATCTCAGGTTAATCAGTGCAGCTACACGTTTCAGTATGGAGACGGGAGTGGTACATCGGGTTATTATGTTTCTGATGCAATGCATTTTGACATGATCATGGGACAGTCTCCGCCGGCTAATTCTTCGGCTACCATTGTTTTTGGGTGAGCTCTTATACTTATTTTTCGTGAGTAGGGCGTGTACACTCAGTGAAATATTGAAAACATTTAGATATTAAAGGTTTGCTTATTTTTATGTTCACACTTTTGTCTATTGCTTCTCTTCTGGTAGTTTCTGCCTATGCTCTCATGTTAATGCTAATACTTAATATAGAAATTTCCAATTTGATTTTAAATGAAACTTTTTTGGATGGTTGTATTGGATATAGGTGTAGTACCTATCAGTCGGGCGATTTGACCAAGACAGATAAAGCAGTTGATGGAATTTTTGGGTTTGGGCCTGGTGCTCTGTCTGTTGTATCGCAATTGTCCTCACGAGGAATTAGACCCAAAGTTTTCTCTCATTGCTTAAAAGGAGATGGCAATGGAGGAGGCATACTAGTTCTTGGTGAGATTTTGGAGCCAAGTATTGTTTATAGTCCACTAGTCCCATCACAGTATGTTCTCTTCTGCACTTCTTTTCTCATTTTCTTTTGCCGGGTGTGGATAGTTTTCCCCTATTATTGGAAAACATTGTTGTAAAAGGAACGTAGAAGCCATTTATGCACTCCTGGAGAAGAAACTTTTTGAGTTTCTCATGATATGTCTTGACAGGATCTATCATACCTTCTCGTGTCAAAACCCCTTTGGTTTCTTTTATATTTTCACTCACAAAGCTGTGTCACATGCCACACTCTTGGCAAGTATGTTTGAATCAACCTGGTGGTGGTAAACCATTTTAAAATATCTCTTCGTGAGACAAATATCTTAAAATGAATATGGAAATATAAACTCCATTGTTTTAATTTCATAAAATAAGTTTTTGAAATTAATATAAAAGGTGATGTTGCCTTCAAAGAATCAGGTTCTTAAAATGCTTGTTCTGCTATTTTTATTCCTGTCAAATAATTTGGAGTTCTCTGAGAATCTGAGATACAGTGTAATGTATTTGACTGGTTGATCAAATCTCAGGCCTCATTACAACTTGAATCTTCAGAGTATTGCTGTCAATGGGCAACTCCTCCCGATTAATCCAGCTGTATTTGCAACATCTAACAACCGAGGGACTATAGTTGACTGTGGTACAACATTGGCATATCTTGTTCAAGAAGCTTATGATCCTCTTGTTAACGCAGTAAGTTTTCATGTACCTCGCCCAACACCTTGAAACGTTGTGCTGACTTGGCACAAGATACTCCTTTCACTTTTCCAAGACAAGAATTTGTGAATAGCAAGTAAATAATGAGGATATTTTCTTGCTCTGTGGTTTGCATGTCTTTTGTTTTATATGTTTTCTGAATCGCTGGTTGACATGTTTGTTCGTTGAGTTCATTTGGATTCTTATACCTTTATCTTATTTCACTGGTATCAAGTTTTATTATGTCAATTATAAATTTATTGAGAACGATTTATTGATCTAATTGATAATATGCATTAGTTTAATTGCATGCTTTAAGATACTCTAGCAATTAAACACCACATTGAGGTCTACATCCTTTTTATATTATTATTATTATTAAGATGGGTTTGGAATGGAGGCGAACAAATTCATCCTTTTGTTTATTTGTCTTGTATTTTGAGGAATGGTATTGACCTTAACTATAACATGTACTGATTTTGAACTTTTAAGTGAATGTGTAGATAACTACTGCTGTATCACAATCTGCTAGGCCCATTATTTCCAAAGGAAGCCAGTGTTATCTGGTTGCAATCAGGTTATTACAAATACAAAATTTGTTTATGAAGATTTTTTAATTGTATTTCATCATAAAAGTAGTTTTCCTTATTAGGATTTCTGAATAACTCATTATAATTTATGTTTTTCAGTATAGGTGACATGTTTCCATCAGTCAGTTTAAACTTTGCGGGTGGAGCATCAATGGTTTTAAAACCAGAGCAGTACCTTATGCATTATGGTTACCTTGTAAGTATGTCTGTGAAGTTCGTCATATTCTTGCTTAAGGAATTTATTCTTTGAAATGGTATGTCACCAATACACCTATGTGCTATTTTTCTATCAGGATGGTGCTGCAATGTGGTGCATCGGTTTCCAGAAAGTTCAGGAGGGAGTCACAATTTTAGGAGGTTAGATGCTGGAGTAATTTTAACAGACGAAATTTGCAAGAAATTGAAAGAATTTGGAACTCTTAATAGTAAAAAAATTCTTAAATGATGTCTTCTGTATCTTTAGTAAACAACTAGTGTGCCATCACTCCATTTAGAACTTATGGTTTGTTGCTTCATAATTTCACATTACCCATTGTTGTTTTAACTGAAAATGGGAAAATACCCACTTGAGGGTTACTAAAAATCTTGAAAAATAATAGTTGACAGTTTAAAAATGATTGAAAAAAGGGTAGACTCTCTCATTTTCTTCACTCAAATTGATTGTGAAAAAAGCGATTTATAATATTTGTCACCTCTCACGATCCAAATTTCAACGACATGTCATGTTATACTACATCATGATCAAGTATGCTAACCATAAATTGGCCTATCCATGTTTATTTTATGTAAATTATCCATCAGAGTTATCAGGTCAGAAAGTGATATATGGTGTTCTGAGATTAATCAAAAATTGTTTTTACTTATTTTGCAGATCTTGTCCTAAAAGATAAGATAGTTGTGTACGACTTAGCTCATCAACGAATTGGATGGACAAACTATGATTGTAAGTTCACCACAGAAACTCTTCATTCCTTCAAGGATTATATATGATTCTTGATTGTCTTAAATTATAAATTGCTGTTAGGTTCCTTGTCTGTAAACGTTTCTGTGACTACTAGCAAGGATGAGTACATCAATGCAGGACAGCTAAATGTCAGCAGCTCTGACATACGCATTCTTTCTAAGTTTCTGCCTGTTAGCATTGTGGCGCTCTCTATGTACATAATGTCGGTATGAAAAAATTAAAATATGCCAAGTGTTGGAAACCAAAGTCATTGCTAGGGATAATGTAAAATTAAGTTTTCAGCATTAACCATGGGAAGAACAAGTGAGAAGACAGAGATGTCTGATTCGAGTACCTTTGAGGGAATGAAGATTTCGATAAGAGCTTGAAAAGTGGAGATTTCGATAGAAGATCAAGAAGTGGGAATTTTGACAGAAGTTCGATAAGTGAAAATTTCGATAGAAGTTCAAAGAAGGCTAGGTTGAGATATCATATGATTGTAAGTACCCAATTTTGACCGGGTATAAAAAAATGATAAACAAAAGATTAAAAAAAAAACTAATTATTGAACAATTTATGAACCTATATTCTTGTGATAACTTAAATTGAAATTTATCCTCAAGTGTATTTCGTTGGAGTTGGTTCAGCTTTTTTATTTATTTATTTAATCTTTAATATGTTGGAAAAAAAAATCAAAACCGAAAATATCTTTTGTTAGTATTTTGTCTTTCTCTGTTATTATGTATTTTACTTGTTCTTCACCAATCACCACGATTGGAACAGCGGGAACATAGCTTCATGTCGGCCTTTCCATTATTCTTGTGCATGCCCAACTCGGTTCTCCCTCACAAAGGCTCCCTGCAGATACAAACAACAATAAAACAGGGTATAGTCAGGGATCGAATAATTTATTTATTGGTAAAGAGGATTTATTGTTAAAGAGGGATCGAAAAAATTTAATTGCTTGATTATATATATATATATATATATATATATATATATATATATATTAATCTTTTCTGTTTGGAGTATTTCTATTTTTGTCTTTCAAATTTTTTTTTAACAATTTTAATTTCTTATTTTTAAAGTTTTGCAATTTTATTCTCTCGTTGATTTTTTTTTTTACCTTAAAATTTTCACTTTTTTGAAATATTTGAAATGAAATTAGAACATAAATAATTTTTAAATTTTAAAAATTTAATAAATGATAAAAAAATTTAAGTATTATATTACTTTATACGTTAAGATTAGGATTTGAAAAGGGAAACTAATGTTTTTTATTATTATTTTGAATGAAATTTGATATTTTGGTTCATTAATTTTAAATAGAAGATAATTTAATTTATAAATATTTTGAATAAAAATTGAAATTTAAGAGTTTTAGGAAGACAAAAAAAAATATGAAAGACTAAATTTGCATAATTTAAAAAATAGACAGACTTAATTAACTAAAAATGGAGAAAAATGTAAAAAAGTCAAATTTAAAAGAAAAATGTATAATTATGTTTTTGTTTCTTTTATTTGGCATATGTCGAATTTAATTATTTTCACTAATAAAATTTTATTTTTAAAATTATATTAATTCAGTCTCCATATTTTTTTAAAAATTATTAGTTTGTCTAAATATTTGATAGATTTAGCAAAATATTTTAAACGTATAAAGTTAAAAAAAAGTGAAATATTGATAAAATTTGAAAAAAATTTAAGATATGAGGATAGAATTTGAAATTTTTATTTTTTTTAATACTTTGACTTAGAATTTGACATCCGTATTTTTAGGAGAAGAAAGTTTATATAGTTAATATTATTTACAATTAGATATCTTTTAACAATTTTAAAAAAAAATTGACTACCTTTTTATTGTGTCAAAGTTATTATAATCATTCTTTTATTTGCTATATTTAACGAATGAAATTTGTTAAATAAGTCCAAATTATTTTAATTGGTTTTTTCATCTTGCTTTTGACAACTGTAGTAAGAATGTATTTTTATATGCTTCATCTCCTGTTGAACAATTTGTTAAAACTATGGTATAATTATTTTAAAATTTCTTTATTTATCTCCTTCTAATAAATGTTCACTTACCCAGTAAAAATATTGTATTTATTTTCATAAAATAATATATTACTGTTATAATATTCTTTTGCTATTTGTGCCTTTCAAGTTTGAATCTCGTTCCATGTTTTGAATATAAATTTTAATGAATATAATTATATTGAATGTTTAGAAAAAGAGTTTTGCTATTTATAATAATTCTACTCGACTAAAATATGATAGTTTATCATAGAGGATTCCTCCACATGATCTAGACAAAAAAATAATATTTTTATTATTTTATAAATAAAATATATTAAATAAAAACAAAAATACATTTAACATTTAAAAATTATTACTCTTACAAGAAGAAAAATTATAAATCATATTTTTATACTTGAACTACTCAAATAATAGAAATATATTTTGAATTTTGTTAATTAATATTTTTAGAGTTGAATTTAAGCATATAAAAATAAAAATATTTTTATTGAGAAAGAACATATTCATTTATTAGATTTATTAAAATGTAATAAATAATTTTTTATAAAATTTTATTATTATTAATTGTTTAGACTTAATTTTAGAGAATAAAATTAACATTTTTATATATTTTGCAATTTTTTTACCTATTACATACGATAAAAAAAGTCATATATAGTAAAATTTTATTAAAAATTATAAATTTTAACAATACTAATACATGGAATGGTATAAAATACAATATTTTTCAATAAAAACTTTACTATACATCATTTTTTTTTATCCAATGTAATGCTGCACAGGTTATAAAATACAATATATTTTATATAAACAAAAGTGTATTAATAATAATAACAACAAATATTATTTTAAATTTTTATTTAGATAAATAAATAAATTATATAAGAATAAAAATAGTATTGTTTTTCTTTAATAATAATTTTAAAAAATTTATTTATTTATTTATTTTCCATCAATAAATGCTCATTAGCATACATCTTTAAGCTTAGACTGTATTTAATGCCCCAAATTGAATGCAAAACGTTTTCATTGACAAAATTGTTGACTAACACAAACTTTAACAATTAGTAGTAATTTTAAATTTTATTAGCTTTGACTGAAAATGTTTACATTAAATCTCAGAATTGACTTTAATTAATTAAAATGACAAGTTTTTATCAAAATAACTACATTGAGAATATAAAGTGTAATAAATGTTATATTTTTCTATAAGAAAAACACTTAAAATAAGCTTTAAAGGTTGATATGAACATTTTTTTTATTCTTAAAAATTTCTTAATTATCTAATATTTTTATATTTTTAATAATAAATACATATTTTCTCATTTAATACTTAATTTATAATTTTTTTAAATAATGCATAAAAAGACATAGCATAGATCATTTAAAAAAAAGCATTTTGTTTACAAAATCCCTTAAGAATTATTTCAAACAACTATAAATAAATAAATAAATAAATATTTACTACATATAATATAGCTCATTTATTATATTATTTATATTTTTATGTAATAAATATTTTATTTCCTTAAAAAATCATATTTATAATTGCTTAAAATTGATTTAAGAATCTACAATAACAAAACCATTAAAAATAATCACATTCAAAAGTTTCAGTAGTCAAAGTCAAAAGAAAACAAATATTACATATATATTACTTATTACTTTTTTTCTTTTTTAGTTGTGAGAATAATCATTAAATTTTTTTAAAATAATATATTTTTAATATATACTTAAAAGTTAACAATAACAACAATAATAATGATAATTGTAAATCCTTGACAATATTCTTCTACAATTTTTCTTACTTGCTAAATATAAAAATATTTGAATATATGTATATTTTTAAAACAAAAAATGAATTTACATTTTCATTTAATACTTACTTAATATTTTATTTTATACTTTAATTATTTTATTTATGATATATATATATATATATATATATATAGAGAGAGAGAGAGAGAGAGAGAGAGAGAGACGGAGACAGAGACAGAGAGAGATTATAAGGAATTAAATAATGTTTTTTTTATAAAACTTATAATACCAACTATTTTCCTCGATTCATGTGTAAAATTTTAAACGTTAAAAAACATGGATGGAGTAAAGTATTAATATAGCAAGAATATGTACTAAAAACATATTATATTATTTAATTTTTTTTATTAAAACACAAAATAATGTATTAATAGCATTGAAATTTTTTTAATAAAAATTAAATTTTATTATATTTTATCATTAATCTTCAATCATATATTTTAAAAAATTATATTTATAAAAGAACGAAATTAATGTTGAAGTTTTTATTTTTCTTAAGATGAAAGATTTTTAACTTCGATGGACTTAAATTAATATTTGTTCAAGGTTTCAGTTATAATTGATTTTTAAAAAAATTGCATATTTAAAATTAAAATTAAAGTTTCATCTAAATAAGACTCGCATTTAATGTAACTACCAATTATTAAAGTAAAACTTTAAATTTACTTGACAAATAAAAGTAGTAAAAAAATTAAGAAAATGAGCCATGTTTTATTATTTAGAAAATAATTTTTAATGTGTATTTAAATATATAATAATTTTTAAATGTCTCCCAAGTAATGTATTAAAAAATTTAAAAATGTAAATTTTTAAAATAAAAACATTTATTATCTCAAAATTAAAAAATATTAAATACACAATTTTATAATAATCTAAAGTATTTAATAAAATGTATTTAATATTTTTTTGTAACATTCTAACATATGCCTTAATCACATATTAGAAAAATTAAATAATAAAAATTTATATGTAATATTTTTTTAAAAAATTTAATGCATTAATATCATAAATATGATAATTCAATTTTTGAATGTGTCCTTAATGACACATAAAAAGGTATTAAATATAACCTATTAAATACTTTAAATTATTGTAAAAATATATATTAAATATTTTTAGTTGAATTAAAATTTTAATTCTTATAAAAGTTACAAAATTTAAACTTGATTTTTATAAATATTTTATTGAGATATATTTTTTTATTTTTTATAAATTATTAATTTTAATTTTTATAATCTAATAAAAAATTAATATGTGACAATATTTTAATGAATTATACAAATTACAGGACTAAAAATAATAATTTATAAAAAATTATGAATTATATACTTATATGGACTAAACACGTAATCAAATCAATATTTTTACTAATTTTTTATTATATATTTTTCGACCTGTCTTAAGAACTGTTTTTTTTTTTAATAAATGGTGCCGCATTAACGACTCCGTGAATGTAACGCTCTGGAAAAGCGCGTGAGAGTAATGGGATGTTTGTTCACCTCATATACTGAACGGTCAATCCTCCTGCGTCCATGCAAAATCCTCACACTCACTCGCACCACCCTATCTCTCTCTCTTTGTGTTTTCTTCTTCTTCTTCTTCTTCCCCTCTCTCTCTCTCTCTGCGATAACCCACTGTTATCAAGCTTTTCAAAGAAAACGCCATTTGTTTCGTTTCGATCTTTACTTCTCCGTCGTTTTCCGATTCATCAATGTCGGTTCCTGCGACCGTCACCGCCACGTCGGCGTCGCTTTACGTCGGAGACCTCCACCCTGAGCTCTCCGACAGCCAACTCTTCGAGGCCTTTGAGGAGTTCAAGAGCCTATCCTCCGTTCGCGTCTGCAGGGACTCCGCCACAGGGAAATCACTCTGTTACGGTTACGTCAACTTTTTCTCTCACCAAGATGGTCTCTCTCTCTCTCTCTCTCTCTCTCTCTTTCTCTTTGAGATATGTTTATCGTTAACGATTGACGTTTTCTGAAATAAATTGCATTGCGGATTTTTCTTTTTCGTTTCTTCGATTATTCTTTTGCGTTTCTTCGATTACAAGAACGTGGCTAAAGAATGATATTCGAAGTCACTATAGCTAAATTTTTCATTGCTTGGTACGTTATTCGATGATTGAGGTTTTGACTTGATTGAATGTTGCTGATGGATGGTTTATTGATATTATTATTGTTTTATAGAAACGGTGTTATGTGATGTTGACATGCTTAATGTTGTAGGAAAGGGGGCGGAGAAAACGACGTTATGGGATTTATCACAGTGTCGATGGTCCAATTTGATTGATCTGGCTTTTGTCTTCTGAGTTCGCTTTTGTTTTTTGTGTGTGCGTGTGGCTCATTAAAGACTTCTCTCTAGTGAGCTCGGGCTTATGCTTATTTTGTTGCCTACCCTTTTTTTATTTTAATGGTGTTTTCTCAGGTTTTAACGTGCGTAGATGTTGAAAAGATTATTCTCTCTCACATATACAAGCGAGTTTATTAAACAGTAGTCGTTAAAGTTAATAGAACACTGATTGATTGAACTCAATCAGCTTTTAATTAGCTTTCTTTGGGGAAAAAAATTACAAGACATTCTTACAAGATTCTAAATTTGACAACAGTTCTTTTTGTTGCACCTGCTTGCTGTGTGTTATTTTTTAAAGCTTTTCAGGCCAAGTTTTGCTCTGTCACTGTTATAGTGTGTGAATTGAAATTTTAAATTGTAATTTCTGATTAATTCTGAAAAAAATGCCAAGTTGTATGACTTTTTATGTAGTCTGATTCCGCTGACCTTAATTTGTTAATTGAGTAGCAATTCGTGCAATCGAGTTGAAGAATAACTCGTATCTGAATGGAAAAGTGATAAGGGTCATGTGGTCACGCCGTGATCCTGATGCAAGGAAAAGTGGCAGAGGGAATGTGTTTGTTAAGGTATATGTCTACATGCTTTAATATGAAATAGTTAAATCATTTTCTTGTTCACTATTATTTGATGTTAATTCTAATGGAAACTTTCTGGGGTCAATATCATGGCAGAACTTAGCTGAATCCATAGATAATGCGAGGCTGCATGATTTATTTAAAAAATTTGGGAATATTTTGTCCAGCAAAGTTGTCATGTCTGAGGACGGGAGGAGCAAAGGGCATGGCTTTGTACAATTTGAGTCAGAGGAATCTGCAAATGCTGCCATTGAAAAGCTGAATGGCTCTACTGTGAGAGACAAACAGATGTATGTGAAACGCAGCATTATTTCAGAATATGTTATATTTTGTCATCATCCATATATTCTCATGATTTAATTTGAGCCCTCAAGACACCTATTATTTCCTGAGATTAACTTTAATCTGATTCTAATTCTTCTAATAGATATGTTGGAAAGTTTGTCAAAAAAAGCGACCGCATTTTGCCTGTCCCTGATGCCAAATATACAAATTTGTACATTAAAAACTTGGACCCAAATGTTACTGAAGCGCTTCTTCAGGAAAAGTTCTCCTCTTTTGGGAAAATTATTAGCTTGGCTATTGCAAAGGATGACAGTGGGCTATCGAAGGGTTTTGCATTTGTGAACTATGATAAACCAGATGACGCTAGACAGGCGATGGAAGCAATGAATGGATTGCAATTTGGTAGCCTATTTATCCTTTTACTACGCAGGCTTTTGGTATACGCAAGTGCTATTTCTTGATGTTAGTTCTATACACATAATCGGTTTTTGATTTGTCATAAATAGGTTCAAAGAATCTGTATGTAGCTAGGGCACAAAAGAAGGCTGAACGTGAGCAAATCTTGCACCATCAATTTGAGGAGAAACGTAAGGAAAAATTCTTGAAATATAAGGTAATTTCATGCTTTTTCTCCTACATTTAAATAGCCAAGTTTTGTTTTCTTAGCATGTCTTCATTTAACTTCCAGGGATCAAACATTTATGTCAAGAATATTGATGACAGCGTTAGTGACGAAGAACTACAAGATCAGTTTAGTTCATGTGGCACAATAACTTCTGCAAAAGTTATGCGAGATGACAAAGGGATAAGCAAGGGGTTTGGTTTTGTCTGCTTCTCTACCCCTGAGGAGGCTAATATAGCTGTGCACACTTTCCATGGTGAGTTAAGCAGGTGTAATCCTGTAAGGTCATAGGTTTTGAATGCAACATGTTCAATTTTTAGCTAGATAGATTTTTATTAGTATTATCAAACAGGATACAAATGCTCACTGTGTCCCAATAATAGAACGCAAGACTTTTATGTTATATTTATGGGATTACAATTTGAGAGACCTGATAATTTTCTTTTGAATTTGGTGGATTGAAAGATCAGATATAATGTGTTATTTTCTTTGTGCGAATTTCTAATTAAATTTCTGATTTTGATAAATTTACGCCCCTTTCCCATTAAAGGTTTTTTAAATGATTTTAGAATACTTTCATATAAGTGGGAATTCCATTTGGGACCATTTTGTTCGCATTGCTTTCATTACCTTGGTTGTCTTTTATTTAAGTTGATGTTATATGCCACAGGATCCATGTTCCATCGTAAACCACTGTATGTTGCTATTGCTCAGAGGAAAGAGGATAGGCAAACACAGCTGCAGCTCCAGTATGCACCGCAACCAGCAGGGTTAGCTGGACCTTCAACTGCAGTTATCCATGGTGGATTTTCACCTTACTTCTATACGGGTGTTGTTTCGCATATCCCTCAATCTGGGCTGTTGTATCAACCTCTGGGATTGAGATCAGGATATAGTGCTCATGGCTTTGCACCTTCCGCCGGATCATTTCAACAATCACAAGTTCCTATCGTGAGTGACAAATCTGCATAATAACTTAAAAGATTGATGTATTTCATCCACCTATTTTCAAGATTGCTTTATATTTAATTTTGGGATCGGTTGAAAAGAAGATGGAAAGAGAGGAATTGAAAAAAAAGAAAGGGATGAGAAAATGAATTAGATTTTAAAGTTCTTTGGTATGAAATAATATGAAATTAAAAGGAAAAAGAAAGATAAATAAAGTTCTTTTTCCATTTGTTTGGTTGCATAGAAATTCGAAAAAGAAAATATTTTTTTTATCAAATAGACAGGAATATCCCAGATAATAATAATAATAATAATAATAATAATAACAATTTAATAAATAAATAACTAATACATATTAACAAATAAATTATTTTGATAATAAAAATTATAATAATGTAACATAAAATGTTAATATATTCTAATATTCAAATGTTAACAAAAAAAAAAAAAGAATTGAAATTTTGTTAAAAAATTGAAAAAAAAGATCTTACTAACTGGACGGCTTCAAATGAGAAATGAAAATAAGAATAATCATTACGTGATACACAACGAGCATATCCACTACCGCAAAAACAATGAGTATCAAAAGAAGGGTAAATAAGAAAGAGGGTAAATAAGAAAGAGTGCAATTATACCTTTCTTTCTTTGGACTTTCTTGGCAAAATAAAAAATAAGTAAAATTGTGAGGGTCCCCCGTGAATTATTTCTTTCTCTTCTAATTATTGGGTAATTCATACACAAGAAATTGTATTATTCTTCGTATTTTCTTTCTCTTGGTTTTGGAATCCTTTCTTGGCTATTTCATGTATACCAAACACAACATAAGAATTAGTAGCCACATCTTTACACAATCTCTTGACTTTTATTCCCTCCTGCGCAATATTTGTCAAGTTTGTTTTTTGTAATTTTCCAATTATTTTAGTTATATAAAATCATCAAACTGGAATTGTAAGTTTTATTAGGACAAACTAATCCTGGTTTGATGTTGCTTTATGAATCATACATGTAAATGTTTTTATTTCCTTTTTCCCATCCATAGGTTCCTAATAATAGTAGGCAGCATAAGCAAAACAGGGGCAGGATGAATGGACATATAAATTCTCTGGGAAAAGCTCAGTCTGGTGTGTTTATCCCACAACTGCAACAGAATTCTAAGGCAGCAGTCTCTTCAAAAGAGTCAAATACTCAGCAGGTTTGCGTCTCTTTTTCCCTTTTTCTTCTTATGAAGTGAACACAAACCCTAAGAATTCACATTCTATTTATAGTACTAGATATTCTGCATTGCACATTCTCATGAAGTTTTATTTAGTTAACTAGGAAATGAGTTCATTTGAGTCATAATCATTCTTTAAACCCAAAATAAAAATCATGTGGGAAATGATAATGAAATGAACAAAGACAAAGGGCATCCAATGATTATATGCAATTGCAAAGCATGTTGTAACTTATACAAGCTGCGCCAAAAATATTCACAAATAAACTTGACATAAAAAATAATTGATATTTTGCTTCTTGTTTAGGATTCGCTTCCTTCAGTCTAAAACTGCGAAGACAGTTTATTTCTTGAAGTTTCAAGTGAGACATCGGTGTTTCTGTTGTAGTCTCAATATATTAATAGCCTTTTCCTTTTGTAATTGGCTGAGTTATATAGATGCCTGAAAGGCTGTCTGGATTTTATTTCAAAATCGTGTTTTCAATTTCTTTTGATACATATCCTGCATGTTCTGGTTTCCTAAGTTCTATGCTTTGCTGCAGACCGAACAGGCTAAGTATGTACCCAGGGAACGACAGCATAAGATGGAAACAAGATCAGGAATTTCATCTGCTGGAGGGTCCCAGGGGTCAGAAATGCTGCACAGCATGCTTGCTACTACTATTCCTGAGCAGCGGAAACGGATAATTGGGGAGCATCTTTACCCACTTATCCAGAAACTCACGTACAATGTACTGCTCTCTTTTTGTGTTTTTGGTATTTGTTGTTCAAGTTCTTGAATTCTTAATTGCAATGATACATTTTTTATGTTTCTTGTACAGCCTAGCCTAGCTGCAAAGATTACAGGAATGCTTTTGGAGATGGACAATGGAGAATTGCTGAATCTCCTGGAATCACCAGAGATTCTTTCAGCTGAGGTTGCAGTTAGTTGAAGATTTCAACCTTGAGATGATACCAGTTTGGAGCTTAGATATGATGTGGTTCAAGCTTCCAATAACTCGGTATCTGATAAATGATTTTTACCATGTATGAACCTTACAGTATTTCTTCTACAGTAGATTGTCTCGTGAAAAAGAAGAGAGAACTTGTTTTTTCTTGTCTTGGTATTGATAGTGAATAGTGATGTAACAATCGGAGATAAATTTTTGTTCGGATTTTGAATACATGGACAAACCTGGATTCTTGTATGAAACTGAGTTCAATAATTTTCATCTTACATTTTTTGGTAAAAAAAGAAAATTTACATTCATGTGCTAATAATACAAACTAGTCTTTTAGTCAAGTAATTGGCAATTAGCAAGAATCGATGCAAGTGTACTTCATTTTAGATAAGGATCGAAGTACCCGGTACATGGGCAATTTCTAAATCCCAACACACTAGTTTACAAAAGAGTATGGGAGGAGGACATCTTGTTTGGTTTGCAAGGAGAGGGTAGAGAAATAAATTAATTTATTGTCATATTTTTATTGTTGATAAATAAAGTTATTAAGCTCCAATGTTCAAATTAAATATAACTTAAGCCCAACTTACAAATTTTAAGGATTTTTTGGGCCTCCTTTTCTTTCCTTTAAGGATTTGAACAAAACAAATTATTTTAAAATAATTATTGTGCTTTCCCTTCTTTCAGTTACTTCAATCAAATATCATGTTGTAATATTTTCTTGGAGTTATAAATACTCCCCTAGTCGGCTAGTCCCCTGTACAGTACGGATGATATTTGAAGTCAGTGCTTAGTGTTTAAGATTTATCCAATTTTACTGTCTCAAAAAAAGGGGGAAAATATCTTTTGTCTTTCAATACTATTCGTGATTAGAAATTAAAACAATAAGATACTTATTTTTTTTAAAAATAGAAAAAAATCATTAATAAATATATAATAATATTTTTATTATACATACCAAAAAATGTACAAAACTAATTGTTCTATTTTTCAAACATAAAAAATTATAAAAGCATCTTAAGAATTTTGTTTATTACAATAATTTCTTAACTCTTTTACGACAAAATAGAGAATTAAAAATTAAAGTATCAAAGCAAAATGTTTTACATATACATAAATAAAATGTAGTTTTAATTGTTACTTTAGTAAACTATTTTTATTCTATCAAGTATAACAAAATAAAGATAATATTATGAATAAATTTTATAAATATAAATTGAATACAAATTTTTAGTTTAATATATTATATTAAAAATATTAAAAAATAATTTATAATACATGATATAAAGTCATACTTATAAGATAATAAGAAAATAATAATTGTTGCAGATAATTTTATAAAAATAATTAACTTAAATAAATTTTTAATTTCTATAAAATTTGTTAAGGTTCTAATTAATTCTTATTTTTTTTAAGATCTAGTCTCTAATAAAATAATAAAAAATAATTTTTAATATTAACTTGTGTCAATTAAGTGTTGAATTGATTAACAAAATTTTAAACTAGTAGTGTCACATGGTAAATATGTGAGACACCTATCTTATTTAATACATAATATTTTAAATATAGTTGTAATCCCAACTTGATCCTTAGTCCAAGGATTATATTTAGTTATTTATTATAATCACCTTTTAAAGGGGAGAGGATGGGTTTAGAATTAGTAGTTAAAATATTTTTTGCCAGGGCCAGTAAGTAAAATTTTCTTTATCTTTAGAGAAAAAGTCAATGAGACTAAATGATAAACATAATTCTAAAACTCTTACTTATGTGTTGATTAGAACAGAGGAATATTGAGTGTGTGTGGATACGATATCAATTTGAATTCACTTAATTTGTCAAGGACTTATTCTTAATAAAAAAATTTAAGAACTATTTTTAAGGATTAAAATTTTATTTAACCTTCCATTTTAAAATATTTTTAAATAATATGTGTCAATTAATATGAGAGTGTATCATATGTCTGAAAATATTTAATAGATAAAATTTAACAATAAAATTAATGTTTTACTCGCTGAATTTGTTTAGAACTATATATAAATAATTTTTTTAAAAGAATATTTTTGAAGGTAACAACTTATATAGGATATGAAAAAAATTTATTTAAGCCACGTATACACTATAATTTTTCTCACAATTTATAATATAATAATTATAACAATTATATGTATATATATATATATATATATATACATTTTGATTATTAATTGGGTAAGATATTTTTATTGTATTATAGCAGAACTTTAACTATTTCATTTATACATTGTATTAAAATATGTTATAATATTGCTTTATTTTTTATTTTAATATTAAAATTATACATTAATTTTCAAATTTTAAATGTATATATTTATTTGTTTATTAATATGAATGGTATTTGAATAAGATATATAAATGAAGAGAAAAAATGAATAAAATAAAATACGTCCAAATTAAGACTTAATTTTATAAACAGAAAATAAACCAAATATATATATATATATCATGATCAATCATAGAAAAATCCAACAATACTAACAAAATGGGTCTGTAAGAATATGTTTGATGGGCTTTGAGTTGGATTTATTTAGGTCCAAACTCATGCAAGTTCGAGGCGGGTTCTCTAGCATATTGTCTACAATTCACATTACTATTTTATTAGTGAATTTTTTTTGTAGGTGAGATTTATTTTAAATTACACTTGCTATTTATAAAATTCAAAATATTAATTTATTTTATATTAGAATTTAATAACTATCACCATTTGATTCTAAATTATAGTATGATGATGATGATGATGATGATGAGAGGGAGGTCACTATAATTAAGAAGATACTTTTTTTTTTTTGAGAAAATTTTATTAATTAAGAGAATAATTATAATGTTTATTTAAAATATCTGGAATTATTTAAAATATTCAGTTTAATTTTGTTGAGTGAGATGATTTAATGTATATTAAAACAAATATTTTTTAAAAATATTATAATGCATAAATTCAGCACCCTTATTATCATTTTTAAATATTGTAAAGTATCTCGGCTTGCATTAGCTTGTTACTCAATACAGGTTAAACTTTGCTCCAATTGACAAATTTACACTTGTAGCACTTTATTTAGTTAGTTTGACAATTTTTTAAAAATAATTTTACATTTTATAAAGGATATTTTTAAAACAATTTAAAAAAAAAAGGTAAAAAGAAACGTAAAAAGAAGAAAAAAGTGCAAAATTAAATTAATTTATATTACTTTTATGATTATATATATATATATATATAATTCTGTATAATTCGAATATTTATAAATATATTATTTAAATTTTAATATTTATTTATAGTATACCATATATTATTTATTAAAAATATGTAATGCAATAGAGAAGTGATTAAATTTTTTTTTATGCAATTTTATAAAATTAAATTATTCAATAAAAATTTCAAAATACTAATTAGTTAATTTGATATATAAGATTATTAAATGATTCAAGTTCTTAAGATTGTAGTGTGACCCTTTCTTTTTAAGTGATTTCTCAGCGTTATCCTTCTAATTTCTGGGCTTAGGTCCGTTTGTGTTTACAAAGGAAAAATATTAAATAAAAATGGAAAATAATGTTAATTGCAACGTCCGGTCTCGAATCACCGGCCGTTTATTGCACCGTCGTCTTCATTCGCCAACCGTCTTCTGCGTCACAGGTTCGTCGTGTTTCCATCAATTATTTATTCTCAATTCATATTTTGAACTTGTTTCTCCATTCTCCACTACAATTATTATCCGAATGAACGAATGCACTTTGTTCATTTACTAGGGTTTAAATCTTGTAATGGCAATGTTTTTGTTTTTTTCTATTGAACGGTTGCATTGAATTCTTCCTATGATGAATATCCTGTCGCATACCCTAATTTAACACAGTAACTCCCATACTGTTCTGAAATATAATTGTTACTTTGTGTTCTCTTTTTGCTCAGCGTAATAATAATAGTAATCTGAGTAGAACAGAAGAGTAGAATGGGTAGCAAGAGTAGGAAAGAGAGAAGGAGAAGGAGATCGGATGATTCTTCATCGGAGTCGCCTTCTTCGCCGTCCGATGATGATTCTGACAGCAGTTATTGTTCGTCTCCGGATAGTCGCCGGAGAAATGATAATTGCAGTCACAGTAGTCATCATCGATCGCGGCGAGGACGGAGCAGGCAGGAGTCAGAGAGTTCCTCTGATGTCAGTGATGATAAGGGTGGGAAGAAGAAAAAGACCTCCAGGTACATCACTGAAGAGGAAATAGCACAGTACTTAGCTAAAAAAGCTCAGAGAAAGGTTTGGGCTTGCTTCTCCATCCATATTTGGTGTTTTTATGTTTTATAATTTGATTTCATGGTTGCGTGTGTTGATGATGCATTCTTCTTGACTTTGTGCTCAGGCATTGAAAGTTGCTAAAAAACTGAAGACCCGAACTATATCAGGGTATTCTAATGACTCAAATCCATTTGGTGACTCTAATCTTAACGAGAAGTAAGTTCCTATCTTCTCCCTAATTTTTTCCCCTCTGTCTTGTGTTTATATTATTTTTGTTTTGTTGTATCTAATAATTAAACTTGTTTCATATTGATTACCATAAGAGATAAGTTTTCCAGACATTCACCGCCCACAACTCATGCTAATATGTATAGAGATTGAAGAGTTTTTTTCATGGTGAGGGGATTGTTAGGTAGTTCTGGAGTTAAAATGTTGGTATAGGTGCAAAGTGCAAACGTAAGTATGAAACTGCTTAGAAACCACTTAATTATTGATGGATTATTGGATGAGATTCCTGCATGATTCTATTTTTCAATTTAGTTAAAATCTCAGTTTGTGTTGTCAGTCTTTTAGGAGAATGCAATGCCTGCCTGATTTACTAATACTAATTCTGTAATTAGATGGAGGATGGCATTTATTACAGACCTTTGATTGTTTGAATAGTTCATTAACAGACTTATAACTCTTATTGAATCATTTCTACTCTCTCTCCTTCTACATTTATTTTTTATTTTGAATCTTTAGGGATACTTGCTTACTGGTGCTTAAGTTGCTAAGGTTAAGTCACTGTGGGGTGAATTAGAGATTTTTCCAGTGTGAATCAAAGCTGCAAATTTTTGATTGATTATTATGCATGTTTTCACCCAAAATATTTCCATAATTGAAATTGCTGACTGTTGGACAACTTTCTATTTGCTATGTTAAGGTATAAAACTTAAGGTTTTTTTTTTTTTTTTGTGGGGGGGGGGGGTGTGTGGGGTGGGTGGGATTTATATGATTAGCTGTTGTTCTTGCATAATTTTGATATATCCACTCTTCATGTGTATTTTGTTTGCCTTAGTTGGTTCCACTAAACTTACAAATGTCAGTGTTTTACTAAAACTTAATGTGTTAATAGTTCAGTTATATCTGTAGGTTTGTTTGGAGGAAGAAGATTGAGCGTGACGTTGTACAAGGTGTGCCTATTGATACATTTTCAGTTAAAGCTGAGAAAAAGAGACAGAGAGAACGGATGGTATGCCTTTTTCTCCAAAAAAAGATTTACTCTATCAAGGATTGATCTGCATGTAGGCTACTATTTAATTTAAATTTTTTTACATGTATTATAAGGATCTTAAATATACATTTTCCTCCACCAGTCAGTTGTTTTCTGGCTGATATTTGAACTATTTGTTTTTTTTTTCCTTTTTGTAATAGCTAGTTGTCCTCACTGGAACCAAGGGCCCAATGCAAGGTAAGGACTTGAGGGATCCCCACCCTAAGGAACCCCGGGGGGGGGGGGGGATGGTTCACATCAGGATGTGCAATGTTTATACTATCATATTTATTAGTTAATAAATTGAGAAGAATAATGCTACTATGTATACTGTATGTTAAGTCTGAAATTTACATATCCATTTACTCCAATATATTTTCATTTATGTATAAATGGTTTGTAGTACTTTGTTTAACATTTTTCTAATGAGAGGACTTCCTCATGGTCCCATCTCCAATTTTTTAGATTGAGAAAATTAAATATAATAATAATAATATATTTTTGTGGCATTTAGGGAGCTACTAGCACTTTTTGCTTATAAAGAAGTTCAGGAGAATGGGTGGTTACCCCATTCCAAGGTTAAGGCATATACTACAAACCTCAGTGAGGGGCAGTGGGCATAGTCTGGTACTCATATATGACTTACCAATGATTGCCTACTACAATTAAAGTAATCAAAATTTCAAACCCAAAATTCTTTTGTTGATGATGTAATGCTTAAGTAGGTAGGATTTACTAGATATGGGAGAGGGGACTTTAAGGCTTGAACGTAGTTTGCATCAAAGGGCAGATTACCACCTGAGTTATTGCTCAAGTGAAGTGATAGACAATTATATATTGTTACAACTATGGTGCATTAAACGAACACATACACACATAGTTGTTATTTCCTATATTAATATATAAGTTTACCAAATGAGCAGGTTTTTTTTTTTTTTTTTTTTGTCTTTGTTACTGTTGTATACAGTTTTTTAGTCCTTACTCTGTACTAGGGACTTTTTACATGTTGATTTACTACTTTTAGGTGACATTGTGCAGTCCTAGCCATGTTTTGATATTTTGGATTTCATATGTTTTGAGTGTGATTCATTAAAAGGGAGGAATGGAGGGTGGAACTTGAAATTTTTGCACAATATATTTTTTTTCTGAACTTTTCAATTTTTCTTCTTATCTTATAATTTTATTATATAGTTGGAAAAAAAGCAGTTTCAAGTTGGGATTTAAATGAGTTTGCATTTCAGAAAATATTATTTAAACTTTATACATGACTTATTTATGTTTTTTTTACTGTGAATATTTTCTAGTATAGGAGGGAAATCACCTGGTTATAATGTTACACTAATTTTAAGGGGCTAATTTTTTGCCCTATATTTGTCCCTTTGGAAGATTGCAAGCCTCATCCTATAAATTATAATCTATTATCAAATCTATATGAAGTTTGAACATGGTTCTCTACTGTGATGCTCCTTGTAAATTGTAAATATCATTGGGGAAGGCAGTGACAATCGCTACATATTCTGTTTTTTTAACTTAGATGCCAATATTCTCTCTGTAGGAGCTTAATTTAGCTAAAATGTGTTCTGTTATATTTATGATTCATTGCTTCCTTTTGATGGAAATTCAATGTTCCCTGCATGGTAATATATACAAATTGCAAAAGATATATCTATGGAGGATAGTATATCTAAAGTTCTGTTTTTTACTATTTAGATATTGATATTGTGTTCTATTTGAGTTAAATTCACTTTTTTAAAGCATTTGCTTATAAAACAAAATAATATTTCATTTGCTTCCTATAGTTACTTGCTTCTTACCTCCTGGGCTTACTGAGTTATGATGACATTATCAGATAACTAAACGTTTTCTCTGTCTACCATTTGTTCATTAAGTTCTTGTTAAAATATATATTGCAGGCAGAAATTGAAAAAGTGAAGAAAAGAAGAGAAGAAAGGGCACTTGAGAAAGCACGACATGAGGAAGAAATGGCAAGTCCATTCTCATAATTTGTTATTAGTTATCATTCTAATTTGTTAGAGGCAAAATTCTATCTTAGCACCCATGTTTCTGAGTGGTGCCTGTTTGTGGAGGCGATATACTAATGTGAACGTACCAACTATTCCCAAGCCCAGTAAGTGCACAAATTGTTATCTTTTTTTGGGGGGGACTTATACACATTCTCTCTCACAGGCACTGTTAGCTAGAGAACGTGCTCGAGCTGAGTTCCAGGACTGGGAAAAAAGAGAAGAGGAGGTATGGTTCTTTTGAATTCCTTTCATTTATTGTTATGTATTTATTTATTTATTAAAGTTTTGGCAATCTGATTATTAAGACAATTTCATATGCAGTTTCATTTTGATCAAAGCAAGGTTAGATCTGAGATTAGATTGCGTGAAGGGCGTGCCAGACCAATTGATATCCTAACCAAGCACCTCGATGGCTCTGATGATTTGGATATAGAAATAAATGAACCGTACATGGTCTTTAAGGTTACTATTTAGCTTTTTATATCTCCCTTTAACCTGTTGTAAGTTATAATATAATTTAGCTCTTGAAAACTTATCGAACATTGTCCTTAGTATTACTAAAGGTTTCCATTGTTAAATGTTAATATTATTGGACAATTACGTAATGATTTGGCGTATATGGTGCAGGGTTTGACAGTAAAGGAAATGGAAGAGCTTCGTGATGACATCAAAATGCATCTGGACCTTGACAGGGCCACACCCACCCACGTAGAATATTGGGAGGTATCATCTTTTATCCATTGTTAGATTAGTTACTTATAGATTCTTTAGAGTGCTTATTAGTTATTCATTAATAACTTCTACCTTATCTAGTTAATGGTTTTATCATCTTGTTTTATTTATTTTGGGTAATGTGGATGTGACTATTACTTTGGAAGTTTCTAGTTCTGATATAAAGGATCACATTTCTGATTTGGACATCACAAGAAGTAATGCATACAAACAAAAAAGCTGAAATTCAAGGTTATTCATATCTATTTGATTGGTAGTAATAATATGATTTCATCCATCGTATTGATTCTCTCTCAACAATATTGTACATAATAAGTATTGCTTGTTTATTTTGATTTTTTGCAACTCCCTGTTTAATGTAGGTAGCAGAGTGTCACTAATGTATACTGTTATGTTTTGGGTAAAATGGAGGCAGCAGAGGTTCACTATTTATGTCCTGTTATGTTTATGTGTTGCATGCACATGAACACATTATTACTCCTATGAACAGGAGCCCAAATGAATTTAGTTGCCTCTTAATCTTTTTCTCTTCTGTTTCAGCTCACTCATATGGGCATTGTGGGTGACTTCCTTAACATGTAATACAATGGATCTTGGCCCTAAATTAGTCATGTCATAATTCATGTCCAAAGTTGAAGACTTATTGGTCATTATCTTCATGCAGGCACTCCTACTGGTGTGTGATTGGGAGCTAGCTGAAGCCCGAAAAAAAGATGCACTTGATCGAGCTAGAGTGCGAGGTGAAGAGCCTCCAGCTGAGCTGCTTGCAGAGGAAAGGGGTCTGCATTACAGTGTTGAGCCAGATGTGAAGATGCTTTTGCAGGGGAAGACACATGCAGAATTGGAAGCTTTACAGGCACATATTGAGTCAGAGATGCGTACTGGTACAGCAAAGGTGGTCGAGTACTGGGAGGCTGTTTTGAAACACCTCCACATATACAAGGCCAAGGTAATCTCGTCATTTGTTTTTTACCAAGTTCCATGCCTTATAATAATGAATAGACTCACTCTATTATTAAATTGCTGTAAATACAGGCTTGTTTAAAGGAAATTCATGCTAAAATGTTACGCAAGCATTTGCAACGTCTTGAACAACCATTGGAGGGTGAAGATAAACTGGAAGATGCTCAAGTCATAAAATCTGAGGAAGATACTGAGGATTATGTTACAGGTATAAACTTTTTGTCATTGTTTAGATTTTAGGCTTCCTCCATCCCAAATTGCATGTTGATATTTTCTTGATCTTTGTTGTGTAGTCCAATCTGCAGACGAATCATTTTCACCAGAACCCATTAAAGCAGAGGACCTAATAGCCGAAGATCAGGCTGGATCACTTTCCCCGGAACTGTTTCATGGTGATGAAAATGAGGAAGCTATTGACCCTGAAGAGGACAGAGCCCTACTGGTAATCTTCAAACGTGGTTTTTAATGATGATCTCTCTCTCTCTTCCTCTCCCACGCACACACTCACATGCATGTTTAGTGTATAGACTAACTCGGCCATGATGGAACATTCATAGGAGCGGAAACGTATGGCTGTAAAGGAAGAGCAGCAGAGACGAATTCAGGAAGCAATGGCATCAAAGCCTGCACCACCTGAAGATAATTTTGAGATGAAGGCCATGAAAGCTATGGGAGCTATGGAAGACGGGGATGCAGTGTTTGGCTCTGGTGCTGAAGTAAATCTAGATTCACAGGTATCCTGTCTTGGTCATTTGTATAAATTTCATATTTTGTGGAGTGACACGCAATGCTTGTTGCTATCCATGATTCTTAGAAATTTACATGTTTAATAGATTGAAAAATATTTAGTTAGTACTTAGTAGTACAAAATTCTGGCCTTCTGGAACCAATATACGCGGGTGATTATCAACTTACCCTAGAAGAGAGCTTTGTGCACCTGTATAAATGTTGTGTTGTCTTATCCTATCCTTTGGGCTTTAGTTACTTCTCTCCATAGAAAAAGTTGACAATGGAGGGATAAATATACTTTTAATGCTATAATATTAAGGAGAAATAAAATGCTTGTTAACTGTAGTCTGATCAGAGTTTCTGATGTAATGGATAAATGTTGGAGCAGGTTTATTGGTGGCATGACAAATACAGGCCTAGAAAGCCAAAATATTTCAACCGTGTTCACACTGGATACGAGTGGAACAAATATAATCAAACTCACTACGATCATGACAATCCACCTCCAAAGATTGTACAGGGGTATAAATTTAATATTTTCTACCCAGATCTTGTAGACAAGACGAAAGCTCCAGCTTACACTATTGAGAAGGATGGCAGCAATGGTGAGACTTGCATTATAAGATTCCACGCGGGGCCACCATACGAAGACATTGTAAGTCTACTTTTCATTATTTTCTTAAGGTTTTAAATTTCCAATCAGATTGCGTATTTAATGTGTCGTCCATGATAGGCTTTCCGCATTGTAAATAAAGAATGGGAGTATTCTCATAAGAAAGGTTTTAAGTGCACTTTTGAACGCGGAATTCTACATGTGTACTTCAACTTCAAACGCCACCGCTACCGCAGATAATTTCAAGCAGTCTGGCTCACGATCAAGGTGAGCCTCAGCTACAGATACCAGCTGGCTACCATTTTGAAGAGTAGGGTGTATCCGTGTATGTGAAGGGTGCTGGCACAAGAGTTCCTTTTTGATATTTGGAGCAATTGTTCATGTGTTAACATTTACATTGGGCCAAGCTTGATCATTGTACTTTTGATGATACATTCGACGTGAAACTTAAACGTTGAAAGAATTTGTAGCAGTGAACATATGAATCACGGTTTTGAAGGGGCGCAGGGACAGAAAAGTGAAAACAAATACTCTTTTCCTTCCATTTTTTGTTTCCATTTTATCACATCCGATGAACTTTTGCACCTAGCAACGTAAGTCCTGAATTAATGCAGAATCAAGTTTTTTTTAATAAAGTTTCATTTTTTTGGCTGTTTCTTAGCCACTCCAGGAACAGGTTAAATTCTGGGTTCATTGAAATCAAGGAAAAAATATGGGCTGCCTGGGTGGGAGGACACTTGTCCTTCTCATAAAATGCCAAAGTATCACTCTGAATATTAAATCATTGCATTAACCCTCAACAATCTTTACGCCAGTCCTGCAGAATCCAAAATCATTGAAATTATTAACCGGAGTGCAATAATATAGAAAGAAATCCAATTTCTACAGTCGCTACTTACCCAAATGGGCTTTGTTTGATAGCGAGCAGCTCAATATCCAACTGCATTTCGAAAGTAGCAAACAGTACAATTGCATATTGAAAAGAAAATCCACTTTAAGAGCACAGCATAATAAAAAAGTTGCAGCAATATATAGATAGCCGTAATGATAAATGTAGTGAAACTGCGAAGCATTCCTTATAAACAATTAAGGATGATCTTTTTCTTTTCATGTTAATGGAGTTGTTACATGAGTGACTTAACAAGATGGAATGGTTTGGCCGTTCCACCTAGATCTAGTTTCCAAGTGAAAGTGGTCGCTTCACACACTTAACGTCTTTTAACTAAAGAAATTAGTTGTGTGCCAATGAATTTCCGTTAGACAGAACAAGAGGTTTTCAGCAAGCTTAGGGGTTCAAGAACTTGTATTTTTACTGAGAAATACCACCTTATCAACCAAATTGATTAGATTTTGATTACATTGTTTCATCATGAGAAAGTTCCAGTTAAACCAGTATGAAGACAGAATTACACTTCTGAGTTAATAGGTTGGAATCAGTCTTCTACCATCCAAACTAACTTTGGATCTTCACAAATTTTTTGACCTATGAAATGTAAAAGAAGCATTTTTCAACCTTAAAATCCCATATGAAATTTCAGACCATGGCCTCTATTTCTCTCCACTATCTATTAGGGTAGCATCCTCTGGAATTTGCAACATTTGGCAAGTCACATTCATTGCTCATCTAGCAAGGATCACATTGTTTCTCGTTAACATATTATTGCAATGAGAGGGGTAAACAAGTAGGGGAAAAATTCCATTCAACGTGCTAACCCACAACCATAGGAATGACATGTGCATGGCTTTATATTTTGGAGCTATAGGGTCTGGGAATGTGTGATACAAAAAGGAAGGCAGAAAAATAAGTCCTTGTTTTCTGGTAAAAAAAAAAGAAAGCAGAAGATTGAAAAGAATCAGTAATACTATAGGATCACGATCATGCTATAGTTGCAGAGTTGTAGTCTACTCCTACTTGATTAGTTCTCCTATGAGGGTGAATCCTTTTCACAATTAAATACTTGGGCTATAGTATTAGAATCAGCCAATGTGAATCCAGCCTTCAATTGAACTGACTGATCCTCAATCTCTTTGGTCTCTAAAGAGGAACAAGAATTTAATCTTGCTAACGTAGAAATGATAATTTAACCTAAGGGATCTGGTCAAAGAGCAGTGGTGGTGATAAATCAGGTAATAATTCAACCTAAAACAACAATATTCAGTTTATATAGATGTATAAGTGTATAACAGGGTATGTGATATGGAGCTAGAGTGTTAATTGTAGCATCAATTTACAGGAACAAATCTTAACAAAGAGATCAGAATAAATCACCTCTATGGTTGCATTCGGAGGGATTTCTTGGATACCCTTGCTTCCATAGGCAAGTTCAGGAGGAACAATTAACAGTCGCTGCAGAAAACTAAATAAATTACAGTTTGATGAAGCATGTGAAACTATTCACGCATATGCTGATAGTAGCTACAGAGCTTGAAAAATTTAGTGAGATGTCATGATCTTATGCAACTTTCTTGTAAATTTATAATCTTAAAAGGTCTAGTTGCTACGGGGCACAATAAAAATGTTTTGTTTAAATGTTTTAATGTATAGAACCATTGAATAATTATATGACAATAAAATAAACACAAACAAAAATAAAATAAAGCAAAATCTTTAGTAGTATAAATTCCAATTCAATGTAATTGTTCAGTAGAGCCCCGAGTAGAGGCCCAACGAAGCTTCCCATCAAATGGAAAAAAGGCTTCACACACATAATTTTATTGATTGTCAAGATTGTCAATTACATTCTTAACAAAGCAGAGACTTGCTCCTAGAATTTGTTCTCACCTGGCCGCCAACCCGCATGCCCTGTACTCCTAAATCCAAGCCTTTAAGGACCGTTCCCCTCTCAGATTGGCCCACATCAAATCCATAAGGCTGCAATAATTTAAGAATTCTCTCATCAATCAACAAGAAATTTTTCTAACAAAAGGGTATGATTGATTAATACATTATGATCATCAAGAATTTTCTTCAAGTGTTATCATTATGTAACTAGGTAATACAAGGTGGACATGCATTCCATGCAATAAACTGGTAGATATTTCGGCATGACTGAGTGAATACGCACAAATAATATGCAAAAAGAAAATACATTACAGCAGGCCTACATTTACACGTTTCCTAATTGTGCTAAAACATATATCTACTATTACTATTAAAACAATATTGACCATAAGTGAAAGTAGGAGTGCATCTTTCTGCGAAGTAGATACTTAGATATTTGATGTCAAAACAGTGTGATTGAATGGTGCATGAATGGGTATAGATTATTACAATACAATTACACAGCTAGTGAGTAGTAACACAAGAAAATCATAATTTCCTTTGTTAACAAAAGCTATGTGAACTGTTAACAAAACAGTGATGCTTTCAGGTCAAGAGGAGAGAGAATCATATATATTTTTCAAATATAACTTTTCATAGGTGATTTGAGGTTGAGCTTTTATATCAAGATTAGTGCCTTGTCTATACAAGGAAGAACCTGTTCGCTTTGAACAATCAACTAGAGGATAAACAATTTTTTGTACTGTAAATTTTCATAAAAATAATGGAAATGAAAGGGTTCACTTTATCGTTCCACTGCATTTACATTTGATATTTCCGAATTGCTAGACTAATTGACTTTTAACAAAGTAATATACAAAGAGCAAATAGGTATGAAATTTGGCTGGGTTACTAGGATCATACCGTTCCTCCTCCAACGCCCATTCCTTGTCTACTAGTCATAAAGGTGATACCCTTCCATTTAGCAACATAGTGAATCTACAATATGACAGTCTGATTATTTTTGAATTCTGAGTAATAGTTTATCACTAATTAATTGCACTTGCAAATGAAAATGAAAATGCAGCCAATCAGAATTATATAAAGAAAAATGCATAGTAATCTTCTGCTAGAATGGATCATGTGTAATATCCCCTTTATTTTCAGAAAGAAATGAATCTGTAAGATAAACGATTCAATAAGATATTACTTTCTTTATAACTATAAGACAGCTCAGGTTTTGATCTAGTAGTCACCTAGACATGTAATTCTGGACTGGAGGATGTCAAATTTGACAAAGCAAAAGTCAATAGCCAACAAATTTAGGTTTCTGATTGTTAACCCTCAGAATATAATCTTATATGCTCAAGTAGCACAATATGCATCCATGATCCATCAGTTTCACAGGCGAAAAAATTGAGAAACTTTTGATCTTGGTGACATTTTCACCTTCAAAAAATTCTTGAATTGAGTTGGTACTAAAAACCAAACTAAATGGTAATTCCACACATTCAGTTATTGACTTTAGTCAATTCTGTATGCATATAGCATGCAAAAGAACTAATGAGTGAAACATATTTAACTGGGTCACAACCGTACTGCAACACGAGAGCCTTTTACAGCCTCTGCTCCATCCCCAACCTTCAAATCATAGTACCTGAAGATATCAGTTTCATCACACACCAGCTTCCGACTAGCAATAAACATCTTAACAGTGAAATCAACCAAAAAATGTGTGAACTGTGAAAGTTGAAAGATTACAAATCGAAGAAAAACCAAACTTAAGACTAGTCCACAAAATGCTGCCAACATAAAAAAAAAAAAGATTATGTTTCTCTAGGTTTGGGGGAATTTCTCTATGATAAAATCTATTTGAAGGGCTTTAACACCCTTTAGTCGTCAGAATCTGATACTAAAGCAGTAGTTAGAAAGATTCAAAATCATTCAAGGGTGATTAACATATTCTTACTTCAGACCATTGGGTAAGGTTGTAAAATCACTTTCAGGAATTTTGGCTCCTCGTAGCTGAAGGAAACAAAAATGTGCAAAATTCCAATTAGTATTCAAATTTCTGAACCATCAAATTCTTTTCTTAAATAAAATAAAAAATGATAATAATGGGAGCACATACAGCTCTTCTACTTGTGCTAACAGCTTCAGCCACATCACATGTATAGACTCCAGCAACTAACATAAGATAAAAACATTTAATTAAGCAACCCACTTGAAATGTAATATATAAAGAGAGAATCTTGGAAGACAGTTAACTAACCAGTTGTGAGGAGACAACTGAGCAATGCTCTCCTTCCTTCAATATGTGAAGACATTGTAACTGCTTCTGTAGCAGTTTTATTTGTGGATGAATATGAGCATTTGCATGGTAACCTATATGAACTTTTGTCGGTAAGTCTTTTTTGTGTCCCTGTGGAGTTAAGGAATTGCCTTAGTTTAATTTTGATAAAAGCAAGAGCATAAAGAAGCTGAGAAGACAGAAGTTACTTGTCAAGAGAATGGAGGTAAGAGGGCAATGAAGAATCATAGGATGGTGCTGATAATGGAACACTGAGAATTCCATGATGTTGGATTGTTGGTTGATCTTGTCAGTGAGATCAGAATCTAGTTTATTTTGCTTTTATTTTTATTTTATTTTTTGGTTTGGTTAGGGAAAAAAGGGAAAGAAAATATAGAGAGGATAACGTGGTTGATTTCATCCACAATTATGAAGCATTCAGAGCGTACAGGCTTCGAGTCACTTTAGAATATAGAATATAGGATTTCCACCAATGATATTTTTATTTATTAATCCTTGTGTTTATTTTAAAGATAATATGAATTATGAATAGTATTTATATTTTAAAAATATTGGATAGATTTACTTTATTATCTATTTTTTTTTTTAATATTAAGAAGATTAATTAGATTTTATAGAATTACTGATTCAATGATTGGTGAATTTTAATGTAAACTTTGTTTGCAACTGGCTATCACGGTTCATGAATTCCAAACTCACCCTTTGGTATGATTAAAACTCCATCTTCTGAAATTTAATGATTAGCACATTAATTTTTACAAGTAAAAACTTTTTAAATTTAGGATTTTTATATTAATTTAGTTTTATAATCAATATTTATATTTTTTTTAAATCATATTTTCATCTTTTAAATATTAATGTGTCTAAATTTAAATTTAATTTTTTTCATTTATTACAAATTAAGCAAAATTTTTAATATTATATTTTAGTCTTATCTATAAAAAATTAACAGGGGCAAAGGACATTAAAGCAAGTTTCTTTTGCTAAAATAAATCAATTCTTCAAATTTAAATTAAGAGTTAATTTTTAAAAAAAAAATATTTAATGATAATTTTAGTTTGATAAGTTTTAGATATGAAGGAGACTTTATAAATACTAATATAGCCCTTTTAAATGTGCAATTTTTAAATTTCTTCAAATTTTAAATTTTTTATTTATTCTTCTTTTTTTTCTGTCCTTGTTTACCCTCAAAACTTTTTTTAACTTCCTCCAAACTTTACCTTAATCTTCTACAATGAAAACTTATTTTCTTAAACCAATGATTTTTCATGGCATTGACCAGAGACAAAATTGTCTGCTAAAAGTGTTTTCTTAATTTAATGTTAATAACACATTTTTCAACACACTCTCTTTAATATATTCTTTATTATTAATTAAAATATTAAAAATTAAAAAATATAGAAAAAATAATTTAAGAGTAAAAAAGAGTGAAATTCACATAATTTTCATAATTTTAAATTAAATAAATTTTAATTAATAATAAAATGTGTTATAAAAATATATTAAAAAATATGTTGTTAAAATTTCTTTAATTCCTATATTCTCTTATTCACACATCAAACAAAAATAATTAAATCATCAAACGCTATCTTTTTTTCAGCCATTATTATTAAGTACTGTTTAGAACGGCCTATATCTATAAAGTGATCATATTATTTCTTCTGAAAATTGGTCAGTTCCCATTCAATAGTAGCGTTTAAAATGAAATGTATGATTAAAGTGCTAATCATTAAGAAAATATTAATTAATAAAAAATGATGGGATACTTCTTAAACTTTATTGTTTTATTTAAGAACATATTTTAATAATAATATTGTTTAATGACTCCAATAAAAAATCTAAAAACTATAGCTTATATAATTAAGTAAATTTAATTATCCATTATTATTGTCACCATGTTTTTTTATAAGGTGCTATTTTTAAATGTAAAATTAAATGAGATGTAAAAAATTTCGACAATTTTTATGTTAACTGCTAAATATCTAACACAATTCTCCACCCCCCCCCCCCTTTTTTGAGCTTAGGATTGATTACAAACGAATAAGCAAAGTTGAAATTAAACAAGATAGTCAAAATAAATTAAAAAGAAAAAAAATTACAACCAAGCATATATGGTGTAAGGGTTTTCCAAAGGAATGAGAAAACAAAAATTGAAGTTGACTTCTTATTAAAACTTAATAAAGGAATTCAAATTATACATGATGCATTGATTAATCTAGATAAATAATTTTTTTTTTATTTTCCTTCTTGTCTCCCTTCAAAATGGCCAAATCAATAGTAATCAGCATCAACACCCAGCGTTAGTTATTGTGCTTCAAACAGTACTTGATTTTGAATTTATATAATATTTATTCGTGCATTCTGTATATGAAATAAAACCAGGCTAGAAGAGCATGACATTAAATTTACCTATAGAATTTATGTTTGAGTATGCATGTATTTCCATTCCAGCCGACAGGTGGAGACAATGGATATAGTTTCAAAGATTTGTTGGTAAGCAACAAGGCTAAGTGAGTTTGAATTTTGGAGAGAGATGCTTAGCTAGTGTTTTTTAGAGAGGGATGAAGAGGAGATGGGAATCAAAACCTCTCTAAGAGAGAAATTATACAAGGAGCTATAAATGCCTTGAATGAATGTGTTTCTTATAATGAGTGAAATAAGAGTCAAAGAGACCCTTTAGAAGTTCATAATCTTGGGACTCTCCATAATTCATCACCCTTATATTCTACAGCCAATTGAATCATAGATGATATTATATTATATTATATAACATTATGTCATGTTGTACAGCAAGGTTTAGAGCCAATTCAAATAACAAAAAAGATGTGTTGGGGTGTGTGTTGAGGTGGATAGCTGTGACTTTTGAATAAATTGCAAATTGGGTGAGTGCTTTCAAATGAGATCTTTTCTTTCACAACCAAATCATCACCATCTTTTGTTTCAGTTTCAATCACAATGCTTCTAGTTAAGGAACAGAGAGAAGTTTATTGGGATTGGGAAGCTTGGTCAAGCTTACTTCTTTATTACAACATGAAAAAAGAGGAGAGGAAAAGAACTTCTTTATTACGGAAAAATGACATTAACAAAGCATAATCTATTTCAATTTCCTAGAAATGATTAAATGCTCATAAAGATTTACCACAGTTTCCCATGGCCCATCTCCAACTATAATATGATTAATGAAGGAATTTAACTTGCAAGAACACAAGATGACAATGATAAACATGAGAATAAGCACGAATAAATTTGATTATTTTGCACCAAAGCTAGCCACGATTGGTCTCATTAACACTTACTATTACTTATGGGTGTAGTAGGGAAAAACTGAAATCAAGATTTCATGGAACTTTCCTTAGTTCTTATAAAAGTCAAATCAAAGAGAACCAAAAGTCAGAGAACTAAGATCATGCGATACTGACAGCTGAAGAAAAATACTTCAGAGAAGTCATAAAGAGGAGTTGGTGTATATATATATATATATACCAACTATGGACAAATGAAGCAAGGGTTCAAAAGGCTTATAAAGTCTCATCAATTAGAAATTAGTATGCAGTTCTTACAATAACAGTTTTTTGGTTTTGGAAAATCGCAAATCAGTGTGTTATATAATCGTTATATCAAACTAACACAAACACAAATTCAAAACGGGATATCTAATATTTGTACATTTCTGTAAGTTCTGATAAGATGTCATCAAATACTATTTAACACCCTCTTTCCTCTGCAACTAACAATACAATGACGTTTTTGGTTATTTTCAACTTTTAACAGAACTGCAGATGTCCTTGCTTGAGACCCCATTATTGTGGGAAATACATTAAAATTGCTAAGCAAAATTAATTTAATAAAGTGAGACGCGGAATGATTCAAATAACAACTGATAGTCTAAGACTCTGCCACATTCTAAACTGCATTGCAGATAAATTTAAGTTTACAATAAGGAAAGGAGAAAGCATAACAGAATAAATTTTAGTTGAAAAAACATTATAACCTATTGAGATAATTTCATATTTCAAACATCTCTATCTTAATCCAACAAGCTTATAAGTTAATAAGCTATAAGGTAACTGAAATGGCAAGTCAAAGACACACTTGATCTTGTTGCAAATGTCAACATGTCACAGTAAAAGGTATGTTTATTTTCAGCTTTGGAGTTTATTCTAGATTTGAATATATTTCATTTAGTCTGAAATTTATAACAGATCGATGCATAATTAAACAAAACGAATTATTAAGTAAAGTCCCCATGTCTTGCAGAAATGTACATATTATTATGAAATGACATCACCAATTATTTTGCAACAAATGCAGTGTTGCTGCTTCTATACCCACATCAAAGTTTCTTTATTGGCTAGTATCAATTACTATATTGTGACCATGACTGATTATGTTTTGCCATTGTGCTGAAGAAATGGCATGGTATTATGACTCATGCACTAGAGCAGAACCTTGCATATGTTGGAACTTCATATTTCTTTGATCCATAGGAGACAGAAGGCCTATCTAGACACTTAATTTCATGCTTCACTCTTACCTTTTCACTTCCTTCCACCCACCTCTTCAGCCTTCTAAGCATCCTTTTCCTTTTGGAAGAAGTACGATCGCGACGAGCCGAACCAATGCAAGACACATTGTGATGCTGCGAAGGGGAATAATGTAACTCATGTTCCGACTCATAGTGCATAATTCCTCCACTACCTTCAAACTCCACCTCAATATGGTCTCTATTCTGATCCTGTTGTTGCTGTTGCTGTTCATGGTGCCTCATTAACTCTTGCCTTAAGCAAACATTGGTCCTCCTCAAGTGACTCAGTTCTTCAACTTCAGTTGCACGTTCCTTCTTGACATGCTCCAATTCATTGAGAACCTTGTTGTAATCTTCCTTACTTACATCTCCAGGTTCATCTTGCAAATAGTATTTCAATGGTTTTCTATGTATCTTTTCATTGTATAACTTAGATGCATATGCTTCTGCTGTGTCAAGCCTCTTCAGAAGTTCATTCTTCTCATCTTTCAATTGATCCAAAACACTGTGTAGCTCTCTGATCTCATCCTCTAACTTATTAATAACTTCCAAGGCCTCATGGTTTCTCAAGATTTCTCTTTCTTTTTCTTTGATCTTCAAAGTTTGATCCTTTATCACTTGGGATTTGGCCTTTGATTTCCTAAGAATCTTCTGAACCCTCCTCTGAAGCACCCTATTCTCTGATTTCAAATACTCAAGCTGTTCGACAACCCTCAGATATTGAACTACAAAATTCTCCAACCTCATAGTCTCAGTCTCTATGGATGAAATCTCTCTATCCAACAATTCAACACGAGCACTCTCCAATGACAACATGCTTTTGATTTCCACAAGTAGAGATTCTTGTTCTTTCATTTCACAATACAGCTCAAACTGCAAACGCAAGGCCAATTCTCTCATTTGAAGGCCTTCAATTTGGCTTCTTAGGCTTGTAATCTCTTGTTCCAAACATGGGTTATTATCATGGATCACCAAGCTCCCGGAAAGAACACTACTATTCATTGGAGTAGATGCTTCTTCATCGTCCATAGAAGAAAGGGTGTCAAAGTTTTCATCATGTTTTGTTCCCTGATGACAACTTGTTTCAGGAGAATCAACCTCATTTTCTGATAAAGAAGAGAATTTAGAAGATAAGCTTTTTTTTGCTATGATCCATGCATAGATCAAACCAGCCAAAGATACAGCCAAGGGAACACCAGCTTTGAGAATTACTGGCTTCAATGCTGCACTTTCCATGCAAAGAAAGAGAGAAGTTTCAGTTATTTGGTTCCAATTGAAAACGAAACCAATAAAAGCTGAATTTGTTCCCTGTTATGCTATTTTCATCAAAGGTTTAAAAAAGTTGCATAACTTGACTTTGAATTCTTGGTTGTCCTTTGTTTAGAGGAACAGGGATATGTAGCTTTTTGACCACTCCAAGAGGCCTTTCACGCTACCATCATCACTCTCATGCTCTAAGGAATCTGATTCCTTTCTGTGTCAATCAATTGCACTTGGAAATTGATATTTGGCATGTCGGGCTTCTTTTCTTCCATGGCTACGTGTGCTGTTTGATTATTAGTCGTATTACTATTGGAAAGGAGCTCTCTACAACATTTATGGTGCTAAAATTTTCCATCAACTTGAAAAAAAATAAAATTAAGGACCCTTGAGGCATTGATTAAAAAATTGAATTATTATTATTATTGAAAATTAGATGCATTAAAACTTAAGGAAAAAGGTGCATTAATAATTTTTTTAATAAACACTTTTCACTCGAGTTCTTAAAAGCATTGAAGCACTGGTTAGCATTTATTTAAAAAAAAAAAGCTATTATAACCTTTCAAAGAGTTTATTGCAGTTTATGTGAGCTATGCCATTATTGTATATTAATTATTATAAAAATTAATAATTTTTACTAATATAACAATTTATGATTGAATGAGCGTTTAATTTTTTTTAATAATATTAATGTACTTAAACTAAATTCTTTAAAGTTTCACATTTTATGTAAAAAGCAATAATAAAATGTGCAAGTGAAACCAAATGACTTATTATATGACTTAATTTCCTTATTCTCTTCCTTTTTGAAAAGTATTATTAAAGAAATAAAAAATTTATTTATTTATCTTATCACTGCTTTAACTTTAACATAGGAAAAATAAATAAATCATTTTGTTGTAACATGATTTTTTCTACTGTAACGCAATTTTTAAAATTATTTACCCAAATAATATTATTTTATAATGAATTACTAAAATAAGTGAATTTAATATATAGTGTCCAAGAAGTATTGAGTAAAAAAAAAAGGACATGTATCACTGGTACGTAACTTACATTGAAAACGCATTACACTGTAGAACGTTACATTTAGCGTCATTTCAATAAATAAAAAGAATAAATATTACATTTTAAATGAATATAAATAATTTAATATATAGAAATAAAATAAAATTTAAAATATTATTTTAAATTTTTAAATAAGATCATAGAAAATTTAGAGCTTATCAGAATAATTATTATATTTACAACAAGTATATCAATAATAACTCATTAACGAAAATGGACCTAAAAAAATGTACTTGTAAATGCAATTTTATCTAAATACTTGCATTAATTAGGTTTTTTTTTTTTTCCTAATAATGCTTGAACTAGTTAGTTTTGAACGAAGCTTGTTTAGTAAGCAGTTTCTTTCTTTTCTAACTATTGCTAAAAGTCAACAATATTTGGAAGTAGTAGAGTGAGATTAAGGTTTACTTGAGATGGACAAGTAGCCCCAAGAGAAGGGTCATTAAAGCCACTACTTTAAACCCTAAAAAAATATTGTTAAATATTCATAGGCAGCACATAAATATGTCAGCTTATGAAAAAAAAAAGAGAAAAAATATATTTAGGACAATTTATATAGCACATAAGTGATATATATAAATTCTGTTTTTACTGCTCAAAAAAAGAAAAGAAAAACACTAAAGATAGAGCAACAATGACACAGCATATTTTTCAAACACATTAAAAATTAAAGACATAATCAACACATTTATAAAATCACCTCAATTCCAAAGCTAAATTCAGTAGCTTTAGTCCCCATAAATCCAGTCATTTTGATAAACAATGTGTAGATTTTGTTGTCCATAATAAACTCTTTTGTGTCCAAGCTTGTACATAATAAGGGATAATTATAGAATCAACTTCTATATATAATTTATAAACATAATTTTAAGATAAGAGTATTTTTAGATATTTTTTTAAATTGAAACATTTTTAGGAATTAATTTTGTTCTCGTCATGTTAATATTTTTTTCTACATTAAACATTTATTTTTTAATTTAATGTTAATTTAAATTTTATATTTTTATTTAATTTTATTTAGTATAATAAAATATTTATTGTTGATAAATTTATCTTTTACTTTTTAAAAATTTTAAAATAATCATATAACATTTTTTAATCAAACATTTAAAATTTTATTTTAATTTAATTTAATGACAGTTGCACGAAAAAATCATTAATTTTATATTTTGAGTATCATGAATTTGAATAATCGCAATGGAATTTACCCACTACTAGTATTTGGGAGTGTGGATAATTTGGACCTTGATCTTTCTAGGACTCTCTCTCTCTCTCTCCTCAATTATTAATTATCTTTGCTGTAATCGAATTTATGGTAAGATGATGAACGAAATTATTAGAAAAACCATTTTATTTTTTATTTTTAAATAATCTTTTGAATGGAAAATGAAAGTTTGAGAGAACACCTTATACTGTCCAATTTAGAAAATGATTAAAGAAGCAGCTTTTCCTGCTTTTCCCTTTTCTTTTGTAAAGTTGTTGAATCTTTAGTCTTGTGATTCTGCATGTTAACTAGTTTTCAATCCTGATTTACTATTAATATATATGTTCAGTTTCTCAAAGTTATATTTATAACATTTTCCCTTTTTTATTTATCTTATTTTTTTAAAAAAGAAACTATTACAACAAATTTTTTATTATATTTTTTTCATTTTCTTCCTTCCAAAAGAGAGAGGTGTGCTACGATGATATTTTTATCTCATCATGACCTTTATCTTTTTTTCTAAGCTTTTTTATTATAATAGAGAAAAATTAGGAACAAAATTTTAGATTAAGATAATTGAGAAATAGTTTATTAGAATTTACAAAACGAATAGTATATAAACTGCTAGACATGGCATCACTCAGGGAGATTTTACCATGTGTTTTTATATGATGTTGTTCATGCTGGAAGTTGATTTTTGAATTTATTTTAGTTATTATTATTTATATAGTTATTTATTTATTTTTAGTTAACACGATAAATCTTTTTATTTGTTTTTATTTAGTTAAATTATTTTATTTGAAGAACTTAATTGTTAATGCATTTTAATTAAATAATATTTAAAAATTATTTAAATTATTATAGTTGTGTATTCAAATAGAATTTTTTAAAAATTAGAAGGTTTGATGTTTTAAAGAAATAAAAAATACTACAAATAAATTGTACTATTAGTTACAATAAATTTTAAAAATATATTTTAAATTGAAACTTCCAGAAAATTAAATTATTTTAAATGTGAGTAATATATTTTTTATATATCATTATATATATATAATTTTTGAATATATGAAGATGAAAAATTTTAATGTGTGATGTTTTTGAGTAACAATTATCAATGATAACACTTGAGTTAGACGTTAATATTAATTTAATTTGTAGTTTTATAATGATTACGTGAAGCAACATAACTAATTTAGTAGATAAATAATATATAATATTTAATTAATTTATTTTAAAATTATATATTTGTTTGATATTACAATATTTTATTAATTTTATAAAAGGTTGTTTTATTAAACATGTTAATTTATTGACAATGATTTCAATAATAATTTCTACAATATGTTGGAAACAAACAATGACAATTTTATAAAGGTGAATTTTTTATATATATAAAAATGACACTAATATTAAGTGATTTTAATTTAATTATTCAATTAAGTAAAATTAGTATTTCAAATTTTTCTAATTGTTTGCAACAAGGTAAATTAAATTTACATGAATGATACAATAATAACTTAAATTAATTTAATATATTATACAGTATTGTATAGTAATAGGAGAAAAAAGAAGTACATTTTAAAATGATTCTTAACCTTTTCTATATATTACTATAGATCATTATGAAAAAGAAATAAAATTTATAAAATAAAATTTAGTTTATTCTCAAGAAATTGGTAATGATCTAATATGTTGAATTAAAATTTAAGTTAAAAGATATTTTTTAAATATTAAATAATATTCAATAAAAATTTATAAATAATTTTGTATAATTCAATTAAAACTGACTATTTTTAATGTGAAATATTAAAATAATGTTATTTATTGTTTATGATAAAGGCAAATTTTTCAAAAAAATAAATATGTGAGTTGTTAGTAAATGAAGTGTCCACATAATTATATAAATATCGTGATTATAACAATTTAAATTCATAATTTATCTATTATATATTTTATGTATATATTAATTAAATTAGAAGTTTAATGTAAAGTATTAAATTTAAAAAATTTAGCAAAAGAAAGTCAATCGAATTACTGATTAGTTAACTAAGTTTTTTTTTTATAAGCAAAATAAATATTATTAGAGAGAGTTCAAAGGGAACTCAAAACCCATATACACAGAAAAAAATTACTTACTCAGATAAATAGAAAACAAAAATATACTTATACAAAGCTAAGACGGATGCAATTTCGTGGGTGTAAATACCAATTAACTAACAAAATAGTTTCTCCCTTACTAACAAGTGATAGCCATTTTTAGGACTTCAGAATAATAGAATCTAAGACTTCTTTCTTATCCAAAATACTATTAGAAAACATAATTCTATTTCTATGTAACCACAAAGACCACATTGTATTTACCCAAACAATTAATAAGCATATCTTTTCTCTTTTACTACAGCCAACATCAAACCAAGAAAGCAAGTGAGTCGATAAATCTGAAGGCAAAACCAGTGAGAATCCATGCCAACGCGCAGTCAAGTACCAGATTTGAGATGAAACTAAGTACGTTAAAAATAAATGAGTTGGAAGTTCCTCAAAACCATGACAGAAGCAATAAGTTATATCATCAATTTAAACACCACGATCAATTAGTAAACTTTTACAAGGAAGTTCATTCAATAACAATTGACAAAAAAATACCAGACACTTAAGAAGAACATTTCTTCTCTATACCCTTTGTAAGGCATTTGCCGTACACTGA